AACTTGGGGACTGATCAACCCTCAATCGGCACTCAGTCCAAATTTTAAAAATTCTGGAAATTTTTAAAATGTTGAAAATGTGAAAAATATTAAAAATGCCCAAAAGGTTAAAATGTTGGAAATGTTGAAAATGTTGTAAACGTTAAAAACATTGAAAATGTTGGAAATGTTGTAAATGTTGAAAATGTCGAAACTGTGGAAAATGTTGGAAATGTTGAATATGTTAAATATTTTGAAAATGTTAAAAATGTTGAGAATGTCGTAAATGTTGAAAATGTTGAAATCGTTGAAAACCTTGAAAATGTTGAAACTGTTGGAAATGTTGAAAATTATGAAAATGTTAAATATGTTGAAAATGTTGAGAATGTTGGAAATGTCGGAAATGTTGGATATGTTGAAAATGTTGAATACTTAGAAAATTATGAGAATCTTTAAAATTTTGAAACCTGGAAATCTGTTACAAGTGTGTAAAGTGCATATTTGTTAACTATCCGTTTGAAACTCGGGGACTGATCAACCCTCAATCGGCACTCAAGGTTGACTATAAACGTGGTCCTAAAAATTATGTGATAACTTTTTCATAGCCTTTTCTGTCCTTCAGAAAGGCTGGGGTATTTCTAAATTTCTACTGTCAGCGTCAGCGCTGTCCTAGCTATGTTTTCTTTTTGATTTGCAAAAAATTTCAGGATAGATATTTGTAACATAACCTAAAAATAGGGCGCCTTTCTGAAGGACAGGAAAAACTACGACAATCAATGCCATAAAGGCGTCCTACAATTGTACGAACCACTGACAGTACAGTATTTTTTAGTAAGCCTACTGTCTGGTATAACCGCGCTTTGCACGGCTCCCCTCCCCCACCCCCCGTGAACGTCCATTTTAATGCCGGCGCGATTCGGCATGCCTTTGGAGAATTTACGGCTTAGATCATTAAATTTGGAGAAGATGGTACGATTTAAACTTCGTAAACGCGTTCATTAAGCACCGGGTAGAAGTTTTATCACCAGCGGTGCCGCCGTCGCCTTGGCAGAAACTAATTTCATTACTATCCAGAATACTAGATCAAAACTGTCCAAGATATTATCTTGCTACCGGAATGCGGCCTGAACGAGCAAAGTTATTCGGATTTGCTGGAACGAAAAAATCGCGGGTTTATTTTGATGTCACACACAATGCTTAAACAATTTGAGATATTTGTTTTAAAAAATCTTCTATTCAACATTTAAGGTAACAGCCTTGTTTAAATATATAAACTGAAGCTCCAAATACTTTTATACTAGATAAATACGTATCTATTATTCGAAGAATAACTTGTTTGATGAAAGGAGACAAAGAAAGTATCAGTATGTCGCGTTCTCCTATCATTCACATTAAGTAAAGTTTACTCTAAACCATTGAGAATATATTATGGTCTAAGTCTCTTTGCAGCAGTTCACCATCATGTTCATTCAAATGATTCTAAAAATCTTAACATTATCTGCGAATAAAATAATCTCTCTGCTTACAAAACTCACAAGATCATTAATGAATATATTATATACCAATGGCCCTAAGTGGGAACCCTGCGGTACTCCACGAATACTATTGCACGAACAGTTACTGTATAAAATCAAGCTGGTATAACTTTAATTACCCCAACGAAAACCATGCTGCTGATTAACAATAATGCTTAAAATGTTTGCAGAAATCATCAAGCAATCCATCAATTTCGGGATGGATGGCTGATTACACACCGCAGGATAGTTTTCAGCAGCATTCTTATTCGCTGACTTGAAAAAGTTTATTTTCTTCAATTTGTTACAAGTACCTACAGAATTTCTATGCAAATTTAAGAATGGTGTTGATAGAGGATTGTTTTAATTTAATCTAAATTTGAATCGCATATTTTATTTACCTATTTACGGTGACAGTGTTATTAATTTTATAGTTCATCAGTTTGCAGACTGAAGCTTCTTCTTTTCCATATTCAAGTTTTGTGCACATACGGACTAAGAAAGAGTAATAAAGACATACTTAAAGGAGACACTGTTAAGTAGCTTCAGTATGAGTCACACATATTTCATACTATATTTAACAAGCTTGAGGCAGCAGAATCCAGATGTTTTAGATCCAGTGAAATATTTTACGTACGTTACATAAATATGGCGTGGCGTTGAAAAAGTTTACGAATAATTACATACTCATTGCGGCAGTGCAGTGGCTTTGAATTTATGTTTAACACGTGTCCTCAGAAACTAGCTGCAATCAGCGTCAAGGTTGCATAATTATGACATGTGATTTGAAGATTCCAAATTAGATAGTGGATGAGGTGAAAAATAATACTAGAAACGAGTGTATTTTTGAAAAATAGAACCAACCCGACTGCAGTAATTGATAGTGCAGATTTGATTGTGCTATCAAGAGAAATCTAAAGATACCTCATATGTCAAAATACATCAAACCATTTAAGGTGTAGCCTGTGAGATAGGAATTCAAGGTTGATTTTTTTTATTGTAATTTTGTCTTTTGCAAATATGTAATCGATACAAACGGGTAAAAAATCACCAGATTTGGTGAAAAATCACCACACCTGGCAACCCTGGTCAATTTGTAAGCGTATCGATGACGGCGTTAATAAGAGGGTTGCCTATACGTGCAACATGACGCAATTATAAAAAAATAGTGATTTTGCGTTTTTGAGCGATTTTATTTGCTTGAAAGAAAAGGGAAACGGAAGTAAAGTGTGGTCCTACAAAGCAGATATCAATGAAGTATCCGTCCTTAACCACAGTATTTAGAGCTTCGAACTTATATAAAAAAGGAAGTAGATCAAAAAATAATTGACCTCAAACACCGCATCAAAGCATATTTCCAATAAAGCCACACACATGTAAGATCCAGATTGATGGATGGCCGTTCAGTTAAAATTGGACGTGAATACAGAAACCAACTCGTAAGTCTGAATTAATCATAACATCGACGAATGGTAGAGCTGTAGAGGCACTCATATCAACTAATGGGTCTATTTATGAAACAAGACACTCGTGTCTGCGTAGCGGCGTGTCGAATATGCGGATTGTCGATATTCTGACGATATGCTAGTCGTAAAGTAGGACAAGCAAAGCTGTGTTCTGTTCAAAGCCTGGTTGTTACGTGCTTGCCGCTACGCCATGAATACCGAACAGTTAAAGCACTGAAGCTTTCTCATAATTCGGAATATCGCTGGGGTATAGTCGACATTGTCCATAGGGTGTCGAGTGTCTTTAATTCCATAGCAGCCGCAGTGGCCCGGTATTTAAGCTTCTGAAACATCTATAATCACACCTGTGGTTGTCAAATTTGAAGTTGTTTAAGGATTGGAACATCAACACTATCCAGAGCTTCCAAAGCAAAGTTCCGAGGAAGATGGCCATTGCCTCTTGGTGTGTTTGTAAACTGGGTGGACACCGTGATTTGAATATTCCTCTTATAAATAAAAGGCTGCACCAACAACGTAGTGCCTACGTTTTTCAGATGCTTGACAACAGCGACGATGACTAAAGACGTCATAAAATAGCTTGTGTTGTATTTTGTGTCCAAAGAGAGAACGTATTATATAAACGTTTAAATTATATAAAATACATCAATAGATTGCCTCTAATGAAGTATTAGTTTGTACAGAGTTACAGCTCAATCTAATCTGTCTTAATATTCGGGCTTCAAAGCCACCCTAGGAAACAAAAACAAAAATGATGCTCTGAGCTCTGAAACCTCTGTCCTACAGCCTCCAGGAGACGCCTTGAAAATCGGTAGCGGACTTCCTACATTCTTTGAGATCCATGCTTTTTTGTCCCGTAATATCAACTCGGGTGTTCCGCAGGGATCGGTGTGGTGGCGAAAAAGAACATACGATACAGATAGATGGCAACGAGGACGTTAAATGACAAACAGTACTTGACGAGATGTGTTCATGTCAAACCATAACCTAAAGTCCGACAAGCCGGAACGGACGATCCTCTGGTAAAGACCGGCCACCCACCCAAATCGCATATGCGCTGGATCACCCCTTGTTAAAAGCTTCTATGTGATAACGCGGAACAGAAGTATCTGGGATGCGAGATATGATGCAGGTTTATTGGAGATACATGATGGCTTTCTGATCACAAATCCTGCTGAATAAATCTCACGCCAAACCGTGTAGAGTCCTTAAACTTAAGATAAGGAGAACTAGAGACATAGAGATAGGAGTATCGTTCTCATAGTGAGGCTTATCTGTTCCTTTTGTAGCTCTATTCATACCTGGGATTTACGTGAACATTTGCATAAAAACTGATTTGTGTTACACATTCAATTCCTCCTCTGGGCACTTGTTCCCGGGTTAAGCTTTCACTGGCGTTATTTACGCACAAACGGGTATAACGGTTGCTTCTAAGATCAAGTAGTGCGCGTTGTGAACCTTTTACAATGTTACTGTGCTTTTGGTTGTGGTGTTTTGGTTATCTGAAGAGTGAGCATTCACTGAGTATTCTCTTTGTTCTACTCTACCGCATGGGTTTCTAACCATATCAATCTTATATTCATGTTCTTGGATTCATGATAAGGCTATAGATAAAGATAGAAGTATCGTTATCGCAGTAAAACTTGTCTGTTGAGATTGGAGAATATGGGAAGAGAGAAATTTTTAGACGTTTCTCAAGTTGATGGCTAGAGTGTATTAAAGGATGATCCATACTATACATTCCCAGGAACAAACCTCATGTCGTATCGTCTATCGGTCCTGGACTTATGAAAATGTTGGGCAACAGATCTTAGGATGGCAAGATCGTATAAAGCTATAGATCGATAGAAGATGAAAGATCGGGTACTTATACATGATCAAATTGTAATTTTCAGAGAAACCTTATGCCACGCCATGCTATTGGATTTATGATAAAACAATGGGCTGCAGGTACGATTGTAATATTGACATCTATGGGTTTTTTGTAGGTTGTTGGTTGAGATGGATGAAAGGATGATCATAGTAGGTACTCAAGGGAACAAACCTCATGTCGTACCGTGTAGCGCTCCTGGACCTATGATGCGGCGGCGGGCCGACCGTAATCGGCCTACCTCGTCCTTCCTCCAGCAACATAGGGCTGCCTAGGTCGTCGTCTCTGTAATACGGCGAGGAATGATGGTAGCCGTACGAATGGTCCGTGGGCGAATTGTTGCCGGATCGCGATTGTCTCGTGGGTTTCCTCCCAACCGGGCTGCCTCCCGCTGCCGAAGGGTGGTACGCGACCCTTGACGGCGATCGGTCCACTGTGGGCAGCCTCACGCCGCGCGGAGACCGGCTGCCTCCCCCGTATGTGTCTCTCGACATCTCATGACCCGCGTTCGGCGGCCAGGCGACTAGGGGCCACCTCTATTGCACTAAAGGCCGTTCCCGCGCGACCTCGGGTCAGCGCTGCCGCTAGCTCGCGAATAGTGGCCACCGTTACCGCTTCCGTACGACCTCGGCTGTTTCTCTAACCACAGATGGTCCCTCCGCAAACCACACAGCGACCCCGCACGCCACACGACGTCGTAGCGACCCGTAGCGACCGTCGCTGCTTGCTTGCAGCTTGCACCCCGTCGCCGTCGTCTCGATTCGTGTGGACGTCGCTGTGTCGCGCGCCGCGGATTCAGCTTCGCCGGTGCTGTCAGATCGTCAGAATTGGCAGAGGAAATGAATATTGCTTCCGTCCGTACCACCAACCGCGTACGGCGTCGTCTCTTGTCCAGAGGCGGATCTAAGGTGACGCCCAAGACCCACTCTGTGTCGGGCTCGACGACCCACAAAGGATTTTAAGGGTTGCAGCTACTCTGCTATTTTGTGAGTCATGGCGGCATGATTATTCTGCTCCGCCGCCTTTATTTAGTTTTAACCAGGGGCAAAGTTGTGTTAGTAGTAGTGGTGGAGACGAGAAGCCAGGCCCTTTTTGCCGACCCCGAGTGTACCAACACTCTGCTCCACATGTTAGCTAATTCACTAAGCTGTCGAACCTTCCTGACCTCCTAATGAATGTCACGAGTCCGACCATTCCGATGGTTAAGCAACTTCGCCAACAAATGCCATGGCCCCTAATATCTCAGCCCTTAGTCCTCAGTATTCAGGGCAGCAGTCCAGAAAGTAGAACGCTGTTTCATGCTCCTCCCAGCACATTGGGTCTCTTTTCACTCTTAGAAAGGATAAGTGCCTGTTGAGTCTGTAGTGGCAGTAGCCATCGCGTTCGACGTTTGACCCGCTACGATACGAACCTCTTGTCCTGTCAGCAGTCGTCTCTCTCCAGGTCCCCCGCGACCCGTTCATTTAAGGCCGTATTGACCGGCTTCGGCTTATGCCCAGCCAAGGTTCGGTACCGATGCAAGTGCTTCTTGCCTCCAGCCTAGCCAGGCGATCAGCTTTCTCGCTGCCCGGCACTCCGCTGTATCTGGGAATACCCAAAGCATCGTCACTTCTTTAGATCGAGCCAACCTCTCTAGTGCATTCCTGAACTAGGGGTATTCTTGTCATCGCGGAAGCCAGGGCTGCTTGCCCTAATAAAGTTTTTGATTTGAAAACACCCTGGATATTTAGCGTCTAAAGGTCGTCTTCTGTTAAATAAAGTCGTTCGTGGTTTGCATATTCACAATTTGGGTAAACGTCTTGAACTCAAGACGTCTCTTGGGCGAGAATCACAACGGCTCCTCATATCTCTCCGTCGATTGTCCCACTTTCACGTCCAGCATCGGCAACACCGCACTGCGCCGCTGCCTGCCTCTATGCTCCTATCGCCTCCATCGCTCTTCTGCCCCCCGCCTCGTCGGGCCGCCCACGCCAACGCTGATCAATGAATCGGGCGTAGCGTACGGCAGCGTTGCCACGTCGCCGGTATGGATTTTTCGAAGCGGCCGCGTTTGGTGGCGAAGCGTCGTTCGAACACAAAGCCGCCTCGCGGGGTCACGGCGACTCTTTATTGCCTGGATGGGATCGCTTGTAGGTGTTGCGGAACGAAGAGGATACGCGTGTATTGATAATGGGAAATGGCGTTGCTTTGAATTTTTTGAATTGCTATGCTTGCAGGTACTTTTGGGTCAAGATTTCCATAAACGCCGTTATGGGGTGACGGTGACACTATACTTATTCATTTATTCATACATAATTGCCTAACAGACCACTCCAATGGGGGGTAATAAAGCTCGTGTCTTATATGGACCCTGTACAGCGTAAAGAGATTGATCGAAAGCTTTTGTGATATCAAGAGCAAGGAGATGAGCCTCACCACGTGAGACTGATTGAGCCTATTCCAACCACAGTTGCCTGACGTAAGCTGGGATGTATCCAGTTGATCGCTGGTACCCGAAACGACACGGATATTATCATTGTTATTTGAAAAGTAACATTATTAGGTTGTTTTTTTTTTAGATTGTATTGGTTTTTTGTGACATGTAGGTTTTTATACAAGATGGTAACTTAGCACTAGCTGATGGACACTTGCTGTGAAGTCGTTTTGTTGTACGTGTTGCCTAAGCGTCATGGTGCTTTAGTTATCAATGTTTGGCTGTGATGTGATGTTAAATCTGATTCAGAGATGGCGTTACTGGAGGTCTGAGCTGTGAGTTGTATACTATAGCTAGAAGGGACCGGCAATGCATAGGTGCGTAGTGAGGATCTGTGTGCCAATTTGCTGAATTTCAAAAACGAGAGAGATAAGAAAAGAAAATCCCTGATTGGTGAAAGATCAGGAGAGAAAATATGCTACACACAGGATGCGAAGTCAATAGAAAATACAAATCAGCGCCTAGATGTGAGACATTGCGAAAATATTTGATGTGTGATGCGTCATCACTAAGATTTCTGTAATGTGGCTTAATTCCAGACAACGCGGGCGCGGTGGCGATTTCCCGTAATGCTCCTCAAAGTTTTTGAAAACAGAAAACGGGAAAAATCGTAATTTATAACTTTGAACATAATCATCCAAATGCGTCTTGCTATTCAACCAACTTTCTTTGTTTCACATCTTCTCAGAGATGAAAACTACAGACTACACGGCTTCACAAAAGATATGCAACCAACAATGCTTGTAGTTGAGTCATTCCTCCATAGATGGACCCATCCCTTACTTATAACTAGTCGAAATTGTGTTAGTTTCTGTTCACAAACACAATAGAACGGGGTATAGAGTATGTTTAGCTTGCTTAGTACACATAGCGTGTGGGTAGGTTCGCGTGCAACTTTATAGCTATCGATATAGGAAATTCCACCTCGTCTATCACCAAAGTGAATAAAACAGTGCTGAATCAGTAACGAAAAAGATACGTAGGCGTTGGAAGAAATTCCAAGAAAGTATAATCATACAGAGTAAGCCAGGCGTATGCGTAGAGTAAAGGGTAGATCCATATTGTTGGAAAAAAACGTTTGTCTAGCCCCGGTGAGGCAATGGGACCCATAACGCGGTTACGTGGGAACCCAGAGTAGAATTTGCTTTGCGGTTTCACCTGGGAGATACTTTTGGACACAATAGAATCAGAAACACGATAACTGTGGATGTTAAATTCATGAGAAATACCAGCAAGTATAGGATATCAAATATTCAAGCTTTTACCAATAATATAACATTTGTCCGACTACTGGTAGTGTCCGGATTACTGGCACCCTATGAATCAGGAACTGTTCCTGACAATTTAAACAATAAGTCAAAAACAAAAGTCCTTCAAGTAAACGTTGACGTCAACCGAAATTTTTATTAGTGATGCTCGTTTTGCTAGCTTTGCAATTTCATCATGTAGTCCCCCGATTCCAAGAATAAAATAGCTTGTCCGAGTTATAATGGAAAAAGTTAATTCTAGGTATCCCACTACACTTTTATGTGTAGGTAGAGTCGCGTGCGGGGCAACGCTTGCGCCGCGCTCCCTTGCGACGTTGCGACATCGTCAAAGGGCGCGCGCGAAATACTAGAAGGTAAGAAGGGCGCACGCCGATGCTGACGTCACGCGCGGAGGGCTTGTTAAACGGGACACTGCCCTTCCATGACCTCCGTGCGGATGCCGCTCTTGTCCTGCCTTGTGGGATTTTTTGCAGCAGGTTACTTTAGGGCAGCGCCCGTCTTATTGGGTTTGATTTTTATAGATATTGCTGTCAGTATTTCCAACGAATCTATTACATATATGAATCGTATCTATAATACTTGAGCCGTCTGTCCATCTATCCATCCGCCCATCTCATCTGTAGCGGTTGAGTCATCTGTGACAGTTGTCCTATCCTTAAAGGTTTTAACATTAATGCAACAATCGAATATAGGAAAACATCCATTAATAATGTTTCAGTCGCCCACGAAGGCTTATCAAAGTACTCGTATATTTTTGCAAACCTCAGTAATGATTGTTCCGTATCATAATGTAGGTATTGATTGAGTCGTTTAATTTCAGAGATATAATAAAGCGAATTTCCAAAGATAGTGATTAATATTTCTTAGTTAATCCATCTTCACGCTCTATCAAATCTGATACTGTCGTTACATTTTTTCGACTGTTGATTATACACCAACAAATTGAATGTGAGCTTGCCTGGCGAATCAAACAAATCTTTGAATCATTAAAAAAACAACTTTTAAGTACATCCCGATAAAATGCAGAAACAATTATCTACTATAGAAGGTAAACCCTAAATGAAAGTCAGGCTGTTGCATACCAAAAAGGCAAGAGGAAAACCTAGAGAAACTATGTTAGAAGGTGATTAATTGAAATACTCAGTTAGCACACTTTGTATTTTTATACTTTTTAGAAATATATCCTTGATTTATTAGTGTTACTTCATTTTTAAAATGTACTCTTATAAAAACCTTTTCCTTATTTATCCAGCTTTTGACAATATGTTGTATCATTGTTAGAAACGATAAACCAAACAATCTCTAGCTCGATTTTTCAACAATAAACAGCATTGCGTTAGTATGCTAAGATTGCGCTAGTTTTGTTAGAAAATGGCAAGAAGGTGAATTCGGGATATATGTAAACAAGTCGGCATTTTCCAGTTTCTTCAAAAGTAAAATAAGCATCAGAAAAATTGTATAATCCCGCCATTTTTAAACGCAGTTTCCTGTGGCAGATTCAACATAAGTTACATCTAGTGTCACTAGATGTCTGCACGTGTCTTTTGGAGAGACATCTATCCCTGAGACTCCGTACCACTTGATAAAACGGTACAGCTTTCAATGTCATGTAACTGATTTTAATGACAACTTCAATTGATAAGATGTAGATGGCAACATAGTTAATATTTATTTGATATGCAACTCACAAAACACTGATGAAATGCTAGTTGCATAAGCTGGTCCTTCAACAAAGGCGCCAGAACTTTGGATACTCTAGATCCAGATCATTCATCCAGATGCTGTGGTCAAGATATTGCCACAAACTCTAAGGAGAGCAAAGAAAGTAATCGAAGACCTCTTGAAAATAGTAAATCTAGCCAAAATTCAAACACGATTGTTATTGATGAAGAACAGAAGATAAAAATTAATTTTCTATCAAAAAGAAAGAAAATGAAACCTGCTGCTAATGAGAGAGAAATAGATGATCTCAAGGAAGACAGTACTCGTCAAAACTAAATTTGTACAAATATTTTTGCTTAAAATATGTAGATTTATAATATATTGTTACTGTATCCTGGTTGAAGATGTTGTCTATAAGTAGAATGTTATGAAAAATATGTTTGATTTTGTTTTATTTCTAATGAGGAAACCTTGTAACAAAAGATTTGTCTGTGAATTTTACCAGTTTAAAAGCATACATCCATCATCTTTAAATGGTATGGTTAAAAGAACATCAAACACAATTTGAGGTATGCATATTTTCAAAACCCATTCACAAAATTTCAGAATTTCACCCATAAAAAATTGATATTCCCAACATGAGGAACAGAAAATCATTAAAAAACTACTGGACTGCAACTATGTTTATTCAAATATCAAAAAAGCAATTCAGTTTTATAACAGTGATCATTTTAATATTAAACACCGACAGTTTCTTCCTTGCCATCATAAGTTATGGGATCAAATAAGAAGACGTTATTGATTGGGACTTCCTTATTAGACACAGCTTTTATTACTTCCTGAGCAATGACTCCTCCTAAGGCGGCACAAACTGGTATGACTTCACCAAAGATGACTTCAAATATCTCCTTTGTTATCTTTGATTTGGAGTCATCGACTTGGTAGAGTTCAAAAATTTCCTTTTTTATTTCTTCCAGAGATTCTATATCGTCTTTCTTGGTTTCAATGTTAGGGATTCTGCCGTGCTTGTTCTTGAATTCCATCAAAGCTAGCATTGCATAGAACAGTTCATTTCTTCTTTTAGATTTTTTGATAGAGTCTGCACTTTGTTTGGTGTTCGGCAGGATTATGACTTTGTTCAATTCGGGATAGTTGATTTCACCCTTGACTTTCACGCTGGTCTTGTCGCTACCATCATGTTTTCTCTTCTTGCCTGTAACAGAACAAAATGATCAGTCATCAATCCATGTACAGAGCGATTTATTACCAAAATGAACGCCCCCAGGATAAGTTTCAGATGCTACATTACTATTACTTACCTATCAATTTGATTTGATCCTCATAATAAGTGTGTTTTCCAAAGTCAGACACTGAGTATCCGAACATTCCAAAAGCATCTCCGAAAATCAGCTTTATCTTTTCACTCCTGCAGATTTTATCAATTTTCAGTAGCAAATCTGGCTTAATCCCCGTCGCGACGATAATGGTGAACTTCTTGAAGTAGCTTACATCTTTGGATGGCGGGCAGTCCGTGTCTGCTGAAATCTTCACGAGCGGGTTCAACATTTGCGCTTTCAACAAAACTTCTTCAGCGATCTTTTTTCCGACGCTGGTTTTGCTCAATAGGAAGTTTCTAGGCTGTTCCTCTTCGGTGACGGTTCTATCGTCAAGGATTGTCAGAGAGTTTATTCCGGATAGCAGGATGTTCTTTGCAATTTCGGCCCCTAATGCTCGCACCCCGATCAGAAGTACGTCGGCGGCTCTCAACTTTTCTTGAGATTCGATGCCCCAGAGTCGGATCTGTCGATCGTAGAGCTCCGCTTCGACTGCTGACAATTTTTCTCCCATTTCGGAACGAGAAGTATTTCTTAAAACTTGCGAAAGTTGTTTGTAATTTGTGAAATGTTTTTGAGGTTAAGTTTCGGCGACGCGGTGTGACAGATGACTGCCTCGGACTTTTCATACTCGATGCATACTCGCAACTAATCCTACAGAGTTGCCAAATCGATAACATTTTCTTAGTATTAAAGATTTTTTACGGAAGCGTCAACAGTATGTGGAATAAAAAGACTTTCTCTATACTCTGGGCGCTGAAGAAAGACATTAAACGTAAACAGTGATCAGCACGTGAACAGATCCCTCGAAAGCATCCACGGATATACTCCAGTCACTTTAGGTCTAAACATCCTCGGCAGTGTATTTCTAGTGAATCCACAGACCCTTTTTCGTGTCATCTTGAGACTAGAAAAAGGATGACTGTTAAAATAAGTTACCTTGATCTTTCATGAGCTCCCAGTACAAAACATCATCGATATATTTTTGATGTAGGAACAACAAATTGGTTTAGAAAACATCCACTTTGAACCTAAATTGACTGGAGTAACATCGATCTACAGACAAATTCAAGGTCACTAGCAGTCGTCGGCGCTCTACGAATCTGCACAGGTTTGGACCTGTAAACGTGATTGTAGATGACACGACAGGCATCTAACAGTTAATTCACGCACAGGATTGCATTGCATACGCATTACGCATTCAGTAGCGTATACTCGTTTTTCGCGAGTGGAACGTTTTGTTTATATATTGCCTAAGATGTCTGACACAGATACAGCCGACGAAGTGGTTGACATCAGCGCAACCCCACCCAAAAAAGGGCTAAGAAGCTACATTTAAGTGCAAATGAAAAACAAATAATATTAAATATATACAAAAACCAAATTCAAGAAAAACCCGATTTGGTCGTAGACGAAGTTATATGTAAGGTAGCACATATTTCTGGAGTATGTCGGTCCAGTGTTTATAGGATCATTAAGGAATATAGGAGCACTCACTCACTTTCTGAGCCAAAACCGTATCCTGCAAGAAAAATGATAACGGACGGAGTAGATGACTTTGACAGAACTGCCATCAGGAGGAAAGTGCATAATTTTTTCTTCCGAAATGAGATACCTACAGTAGATAAGATATTAAGATTAGTTAATGCTGATGAGGATCTTCCATCGTTTAAAAGAACCACATTCCGAAAACTTTTGAAGGAACTTAATTTTCGATTCTTGAAACGGGGAAGAAACAGTATGTTAATAGAGAAAGAAGAAATTGTTGTGTGGAGAAGGGAATACCTTAGGAAGATTCGGAAGTTTCGCGATGAAAAAAGAAAAATTTACTATTTGGACGAAACGTGGGTGAATGCTGGACATACTCAAGCGAAAGTTTGGGTCGACAAATCAGTAACATCATCAAGGCAGGCTTTTCTAGACGGTCTTTCGGCTGGATTGAAAAATCCTGCAGGTAAGCTCCTTCATCTATCCGGCAATTTAATTTTGATAAATTCGGGCAAATAATATGCTGTGATAGCAGATAATGTGTGATATTCTCCAAAAATGGTGCATTCGCAGTGTAGTCATTAGGAAAAAAACTTCGACCCTCTTTTAAGCGTTATTTTGAAATTTATTATCATTTTTGGGTGCAGTCAATTTGCCTTGAATGGGTTTTGAGAAGTTGCAAACTTCAATTTTCTACGTTGTTCAGTTTTTGATCAGCATTCCGTGACTCTTAAATTCAGCTAAATGAACTCAATTGCCTCATACCTTCAAATTTAATCAATCCATAGTGTAAGGAATAATTTATTTCCAGGAAAAGGCAAACGGCTGATCATTTGTCAGTAGGTAGTGAAGACGGCTTTGTTCCCGAAGCACTGTGGGCCTTTGAATCAAAAAAGACAGGGGACTATCATGAGGAGATAGACGGCAATTCCTTTGAAAATTGGTTCTCCAAAATGTTACTAAAGCTGGAGAATAACGCTGTTATTGTACTGGATAATGCCCCGTACCATTCTAGAAAAATAGAAAAAATTCCCACAATGGCAACTAAAAAAGCAAACATACAACAATGGCTGGCCTCAAAACAGATCGATTTTGATGAAACAATGGTCAAGGGTGAACTGATAAGTATAGTCAATAGACATAAATACAAATACGATTTTAAAATGATCGACGAAATGGCCAAAAAACAAAATAAAACTGTCTTGAGACTGCCACCCTACCATTGTGAGCTGAACCCTATTGAGCTGATTTGGGCCAACATAAAGCAATACGTGGCGTCGAATAATAATACTTATAAATTTTCTGATGTTAAAAATCTTTTTCACATCGCAGTCAATAGAGTTACGGCAGAGGAATGGAAAAACTGTATCCGCCACGTTCGGGAGAAGTTTGAGGTCAAAATGTGGGATTTGGACAATGTCATCGATACCCAAATTGAACCTCTAATAATTCATTTAAACGATTCAGAAGATTCAAGTTCCTCTTCTGAATGAGTGCGCGCAGCTTACTTACTAATAACTAAAAAGTTTAGTTAACTCATTTGTGAATCTCTAACTGAAATTTACTGTAAAAGATAATAATTATCTTGTATGAAATTTTTGATGACTACCCATAATATCTTGATGCGGTCCTGTAATGTCTCCTGCGCCTAAACACTCACTCACGAGCAATATGCGTGTATTTGTTTGGGTTTAGTTTCTTTCTTCAGCGCCTAGAGAATAGTTCAACTAATTCGGTGATTACATTCGAGACGATAACCATTGGCTGGTATGAAAAACAGCACACTCACAGGATGTTCTAAAGCACCTTTCGTTCTTAATACAAATGCAGTCATGAAATACAATTACGTAATTGCTCAATTGTTGGGATAGATTATATTTCAATTTCGAATATTGCTTATCGGATTTAACTTAGTAAAATTGATTTAGCAATGCGGCAACGTTGTACGGCGACAGTTGTAACTGCGAGTACACATCGAGCATACAGAATTTCTGAGACAGACTTTGGGCTCTGTCTATCGACACTTTTAAATTATCGATTGTTGCTTTTGTATTTGTAGGAATGAAAAATAACCTGTTGATTGTTTTTAATAGAATGGATAATTTTATGCCCTCCGACCGGCCAGTTCCCAGCCATCGTAACAAAACTAATTATATACACATTATAAAAAAAAAAACAAATTCAATAAATACAATATATATTTGTAAAATAGTACAAAAATACGAATAGGTACATTAGCTTAAGTAACAACTTCATATAAGTAAAACATATAAACTCTGGATGCAAGTGCGATTTAATCGTTAATCAATAGGCTTTGTACTAAAATGTAACATTTTTATATAGGTACACGTATAAATCGAATATTAAAATGAATAAAGTTCGTGCGTTTACGTTTAAATTGTGAGGGTTACTAAAAACTAAGAACGATTCGCTTTCATGTTTTTTGGGTAAAATGGGACTAGCACACCAACCTGCAATATGGAAGGTACTCTGCGCACTTTACTATTACAACAGAGCACCTGGCAACGTTGTTCAGGCAAACGACAAATTGTCAGCTGTCAATCTGCCTTCATTTGAATTTGAACATTTACATTTTTCAGGAAAATCATAGGCGGCTTTGGGCCACTCGATTTTCTAGGCGCCTTCTAGAAAAATTTAGTAGCGCGTCGGTTGTAAATCTGTTTACGTTGCACCGATACAATTTTTGTTTAAACAAACTTAAGTGAGACATTGTGGCATAAAACGAGCTTGGTGCTTGGTAAGAGATTATTATAATACTCCAGTTGTTTTGATAAAAATTCGAGGGAATAAACAAACAGTATAGTATAAATACTGATCTCCTGAGGAAAGGCACAATATTATAAAACAACATATCCTAAAAATTAAGAGTAAAAAGTTAATACTGAAGATTGATTTCCTCTGACCAGTAGAATGGGCGGCATATCCTTGGTGAGCATCTCCAGCCAAGCCATGTACAGTGGCGCGGAGATGATGTTTTTCCTTGGAATGGGTAGGGTAACCACCACCAGGTTTGCCTCGCTGGAATGTTGAAGCAGCAGCTCACGCAGTCGCAAATGGCGGTTGGTCTTGTCCTGGACGGCTAGCAGCTCCGAGTTCGAGATAGACTCTGCGAAAAAGGGCGAGTTAACGTGTATTTTTTACGTCACACAAAAGTGTACAGCATGAGTGCCCGCAAGGGTGCGGGAGATCAGGGGAGGTGGTGGTCGCGGCGTCTCCCAATGAGGTTTTTGTTTATTTTTCTGAAATTCACATAACATACATGAGAAACACGAACTTGTGCGGAGGGATATTTTTATATTTTACCAATATTTGGATGTAGCGTTCCGTCTATGATGGTTCCGTGAATATTTCGTCAAGTAGATTGACTCAGCACTTTCATGACGCAATTATATTACACACGGACTCGCAAACCGACAAATGAGAAACATGAACTAGGGTGATGCAGACCTCGATAGCATTAAATATGTAAAAAAATGTTTGTTGATTATTTGTAGCTACATAATATTGAATAAATATATTTTACATATATGTAATCATAAAATATTCATTATAGATATCTGTAGTATTTATATAATTTATATGTTTTCGCGGTATTTATCCAAATTTATTAGAAAATATATGGGGAAAGATTTTTATATTTCAGTCTGATGCAATATGTAATCTTTTTTCGCAAGCATTTAGGAAATGTATGAAACGACAGATTTTCAAGCATTAATCATTTTAAGTGTATATACAAATATACAGTATATTCACTGAACCAAAGTAGCTACGTCACAACGTCAAACACTGACAGTCACGCACATGGTTGCCACATTCTTTAAGACTACCAGATCCTAGGAAATAAAACACAAAAAAACAACAGCCGTTGACGTAAGCTTTGCGACAATGTCACAACGCAGAAAACTGTTACCAACATAAATTTACCCGGGAAATTCATAAGATACATCAGAAACGCGAACTTGTGCTGAGGGGTATTTTTATATTTTACCAATATTTGGATGTAGCGTTCCGTCTATGATGGTTCCCTGAATATTTCGTCAAGTAGATTGACTCAGCTCTTTTATGACGCAATTATATTACACACGGACTCGCAAACCGACAAATGAGAAACACGAACTAGGGTGATGCAGACCTCGATAGCATTAAATATTTAAAAAAATGTTTGTTGATTATTTGTAGCTACATAATATTGAATAAATATATTTTACATATATGTAATCATAAAATATTCATTATAGATATCTGTAGTATTTATATAATTTATATGTTTTCGCGGTATTTATCCAAATTTATTAGAAAATATATGGGGAAAGATTTTTATATTTCAGTCTGATGCAATATGTAATCTTTTTTCGCAAGCATTTAGGAAATGTATGAAACGACAGATTTTCAAGCATTAATCATTTTAAGTGTATATACAAATATACAATATATTCACTGAACCAAAGTAGCTACGTCACAACGTCAAACACTGACAGTCACGCACATGGTTGCCACATTCTTTAAGACTACTAGATCCTAGGAAACAAAACACAAAAAACAACAGCCGTTGACGTAAGCTTTGCGACAATGTCACAAGACAGAAAACTGTTACCAACATAAATTTACCCGGGAAATTCAAAATATACGTACCAATTTAGGATCAAATTTACTAAATATGAAGTAACTGTTTTGTTTCAGTGAAAGGACTATATATAGAAAATTCGTCATTGCTTATTTTAACAAAATCTGTAGGAATGCTTAATTATTTGTTCAATATTTTGTGAATGAGCGGTATATGTTTCATTAATTCAAAAATAAATATCCATACTATGGAAAAATAAAATATGACATATGTAAGATACATAAAAAGTATTTATTGAATATTTTCTAAATAATGGAGTTGCAGTATTTCCATTGATTGAAAAATAAATATTAAATAAATGTTATAAACAAAATATCCTATTTAAAACACTTGAAAGATGTTGAATAAAAATATTATAATCCGAATATTTATTAAATATTTGTTTGAGATAACAAATATTTAAGTAAGATAACAAATATTATTAAATAGGTATATTGAATATATACAGGGTGACTTCGAAGTTGAGTCATTTATTTTAACAGTGAGTAGATCTGATCAAAAGAAATGTTTTTTTCCTTTACCATTTTTCTGGTAAAATTAAAGTAACAAAGTTATAGCCCTTTGGAAGTTTGAGTACCGCCCTGTCTCAATAATAGCATGTGCTCGTGTTTGGCAACAACGGATATAATCCGCCTTATCGGTTCATCGCATCGGAAACAAAAAAGCGAAAGAATTTGGAACGTTGTTTTTACAATTATTTTATTCAGTTCAGTTATACATACAGTCAGTGTCAGTCGCGTGTGAATAGTGTCTGTTGCGTGGCTCAAACGAAATAAAAAATGGCACATGTTTATGCGGATCGGTTTCCCAATCGAGTGCAACCAACCCCTCGTGCCTTTGTTAATGTAGTACAACGGGCTCGTGAATCAGGTGACTTAAGACCTCACAGGGGACCTCACGATCAAATACAGGTCCGCACTGAAATACTTGTCGGGAGGATACTTTATAAAACAAGGTAAACATTTTTTTTTAATTTTTTTTTTATTTTTACACACATATTTTGGTTTATCTTCCTTCTACAATCATTATCTGAAAATTAATGACTCAACTTCAAAGTCACCCTGTATGTAATGAATATTTCGTGCTATCGGAGGATATCTTGAAGCAACAAAAAACTTGTGAAAACTTGTGACCATCGTTTAGGTAGTCGCAGATTTTGAAGACTGATTTAGAGACGGCGGAAATAAAATCGCTGAAACATAGTGTTCCTGTTCATTTTCGGAGATTGGAGTGGATGAAAATTTGACTCAAACCGTTTCGTTGAAATCTCCAACGAATCCGTAGGAAGTATAGTGTCAATCTATTTGACGATTTTTTGCACATTATTTGAGGTTATTAAGACTTGCCCCCCTAGGAAAAATTCATGCGGACGCCCATGCTATACAAGATGTTACAGAATTTCATACATGTTATGGTGCCCTCTGATGATACATTTGCAATTTCAAAATACATTTCGGGGTCTTCAATCATTTTTAGGGCTTTGCAGACATTATACCGCTTATCAGTCGAAAATGGTCTGCTTTATTTTTTGAACAAATTTGATCTGGGTTACCGTACGGGTATATTCAAGATTTTTATCGAAATTCAATAAATAATTCTGGGTGTTGCATTTTATATCACTCAGTAAACTGAATCATAATGAATAAACGTATTAAAAAGAACATTAGATTTCTGTTATTAAAACGTGCTGAATCTTCCGAATTTCCCTAACAACCTGTAAAATGTCAATTCTCACCTCCATCTTCGCTCTTCTCATCCTTATTCGATCGAAAATCGGAAATAAGCGATTCGAAAAACCGTTGCGTCGACTCTTGAGGTTTGGCCGTGATATCGGGAATGACTTGCAGGTCCGTGTAGTCGATCCTAAACTTGGCCAATAAACTGGCCATGTTCCTGTGTTCCAATTCAAGTTCGTCCCGTTTGTTGGCCAACGCGAACACGCGTAGCTTGCAACTGCTCCAGTTTCTGCGGGTGCTCACTATGTACGGAAGCAGCAGGGTCAAACCTACAAACGATATGTTACCTTCACACGCCGGTTCTAAGAAAAACGGCACGCTCTCGCAGCAATTATTTTAATTTACGGCGAGGGCCTTCGAAACGCTACCGAGGCTTCGCGAGTACATGCAGATCGTTTTTAATGATCCTTCGTGATTTCTTATTTTAAACTACTCAGCATCGAAGACGTCATTTTGCTCTAGAAACGTTTTTCAATAAACCATTTTCAAACATTTTACCTCCATCATCGTATAGCCACCAAACGTCGATCGTACCGTTCCGCCTCTGTTTCTTTTGGAAAAAGAAAATTTCCGACGGCGAGATATCCTTATTATCGATTTGATCGTCTCCAATGTCGCCCATTGATTCTGTGACCGATTTCGCCTTCTTCATCGACTCATCCGCGTTCGGTGCTATGCTCACCGCTTCCTTGTTCGTGGTTAGTGATCTGTCACTGCTACTACTTGCTGAAAATCAAACAGGAGGCTCAATAATCCTTCTTTAATTGTGAGACTCAGTCTAGGCTCGTAGTTGGTATCTTTTATTTTTTTAAAATTAGCGAATACTTCTAGGTATAACCTGCTTTCATTTACACTATTTTCAAAAGTAAATTTTATTGTGGTCCACCATGTAAATTCACTGTCTTAATTTCATTTATATATGTGTCTAGCCAAAGTATTGTGGTACCACAGCCGACGTCAACTACGATCCGTGAACAAAGAAATCTGGCAACGTAGGTGGTAGTGTTACTCCCGCCGCTGCTTGCTGCATCGACGCAACTCGTGCTCAAAACGCTGAGAAAACATAACCTTTTCAATTTGTGATTTGGGAATCCTGTAATTAAGAGATAAGCTTGTTTTCTAAGTTTCAAAGTGTGTGTATGTGTTCAAAGTGATCGGTGACTATAATATATGAGAAATAGACTCCAGTTGTAGTGCTTGTGTGCTTTAAAAATAAACTAAGAAGTGTGACTGTGGCTGTTCGCGCCTCAGGACGCTAAGGATTTCAACCATTGAAAACGTGCAAATTCAGGTTGTATTTTTCTTTTTTCATTTATCAAGTATTTGACGCAGACAATATGCCTCGTTGTTGCTGTGTTCCTTTATGCAATGCAAACTATAATTCTGCTTTGAAAACAGAAAGCTATGTTTCAACTTTTCGCTTCCCAAAGGCTTCCCAATCTAATTAAAAAATACTTGTTGATCTTTAATTTGCTGGAGGAGTTTTTTTAACAAATTGTTCATGAATTTGCAAAAAATGTAATCGTCTTACCCTGCGACATCTGACTGTATGACCGATTCCTGGGCATCCCATACTCTGGACTGTTTTTGTTGCTCTTATTGTCATCCTCTATCGATATGCTCAAGTCGAATCCGTTTTGTATCCTTATGATTCCAGCAGCCATGTGTAGGTCGAAAGCGTTGCTGAAATATACGATTTTAAAGAAAGAGTTTCCATAAACACGGATCCAAAAGTGCAGTTTTCAAATTTTTCGCAATTACACAACAAAAAAGACTTGTAAATTGACAAAACTTGCATGGTGAATACTTACTGCACAACTTCGAAATACTGATTCAGATCCTCTCGAGGGCAGAATTGCCAGTCTGCCTTGTACCCCATCAGCAAAATGTTCGGTCTAAGCTTGCCTATGCCGCAAGCCTTCTGCAAAGCTTTGCATCCATCCTCAAAAGATAGTCCATCTACTTGCATATAGAATGCTTTCAGTTTGTGAGCTCTCAACCAACTGTTTGCTTTGTAGTTGAGCACGTTACGAACTCTCTGCGGAAGTGGGCTCTGAAAAAAATATAACTTGTTTGTTATCATGTTGTGTATCTCACTGACGAATCTCAAAAAGACAAAACAGCTAATGTATAACATTAGTTGTAGGAGTTACAGCTAAAAATAGGTCTATAACTACTCTGCTTAGAGATTTTTTTAAAACTTACCATGTTGATGTGTCCACAAACCAGCATGGAAAGATTCTTGGTCAACAAGTGGGCAAAATCTACTAAAGCAGGTCTAGCGCTCGGCATGCCGGATAATACCAAAATTTGAGGCCTGTAATTCTTCACATGCTCTTCTACGTTGTTCAATTGATGCACGGCCTGCAGAGCGTTTTTGTAGATTTGAGCTTGCGTTGTCGATCCCCAGTTTACGTCTAGAATTGAAAAATTACTCGATTTCTTAAATGGCATACATTTTCAAGCCAAAGCGGAATTTAATAGCCATATTTTATATACAGGGTGACTTCGAAGTTGAGTCATTTATTTTAACAGTGAGTAGATCAGATCAAAAGAAATGTTTTTTTCCTTTACCATTTTTCTGGTAAAATTAAAGTAACAAAGTTATAGCCCTTTGGAAGTTTCAGTACCGCCCTGTCTCAATAATAATATTATGTGCTCGTGTTTGGCGACAACGGATATAATCCGCCGTATCGGTTCATCGCATCGGAAACAAAAAAGCGAAAGAATTTGGAACGATGTTTTTACAATTATTTTATTCATTTGTATACAGTCAGTGTCAGTGAATAGTAGTGTCTGTTGCGTGGCTCAAACGAAATAAAAAATGGCACATGTTTATGCGGATCGGTTTCCCAATCTAGTGCAACCAACCCCTCGTGCCTTTGTTAATGTAGTACAACGGGCTCGTGAATCAGGTGACGGGATGCCGGTGCTCCAAGACCTCACGATCAAATACAGGTCCGCACTGAAATACTTGTCGGGAGGATACTTTATAAAACAAGGTAACATTTTTTTTAATTTTTATTTTATTTTTACACACATATTTTGGTTTATCTTCCTTCTACAATCATTATCTGAAAATTAATGACTCAACTTCAAAGTCACCCTGTAGTTTTTGTGAATCCCATTACACTCTTATACTTACTTGGTTTTCTGTAAGCGACGATGAGATACAGGGCTAATACCATAGCGAACGTCAACAAAGCTGTCACCCAGGATATCAAGAACATCACCAACACGCACAGTACTGCGCCCAATAAACTCAACCACATGTTATAATACTGCAAGAAAAAAATACGATATAGATAAAAACTCAAGACCCCTAACAATGAACAATCTATTTAACTTAGTCTACTAACTTATTTTAAGCAACCGCGGTATTTATTATTCAGGCCTTGCCTTCAAGTTTGTTGGTATTGTAGCATTTTACTGGGTTCTTTTCGGTGTGGATTCAAACACTGGATTCCACAAAAAAATGCACTAATTTATTTAACTTGATAGAACATTTATATACACCACTATTTATGTCTGATATCGCCATTGACTGCACTATACTCCACTCCGCTCTGCTCTGGTGTAATCTGTACTCTCTGTCCCCATCTCCAGGCCGCCGAGTTATATTGAGTAACCATCGCTGCTTCGAGAAAGGTCTGGCGAGCCACAACGCGACATCTAGAATATTGGAGGACACTTCGCGTCGATCTAGAAGGCGATACACTGTCGTGGCTCGCGTAAAAGCAGAGATCGGCCATTAAGCTCTGGCGAATAGGAGACTCGCCCGACAGATGGCGCCAAACAGAACTATTTGTCTCTTACCTTAAATGTTGGCCTCCAACCGACTGGTTTTGCAAGCGAGGCGTGGAATGTCGAAAAGTTGATCAACGTATAAGCGGCAAGGAAGAAGTTTGAGATCAGAGGGGCAATCACGTTCAATTCACCTGGAAAAAATTGCCAAAATCAATATGAGAATCTGGAAAAATAAATAAGAGTAAAGACGTTGTAGACGGTTGGTTATGGAACCTTCACCCTTTACTTTTGAAGCACCGCATATGAATGAAATTTTTTCTACTGCTTACCTATCAAAATGAAGGCGACAGCGATAATAAAAGTCAACACGTATCCCCTGAGCGGTTCGTTGTTTTTTCCGTAACCTTTCGCGAACCATTCGATCTTCGGGTACAGTTTGTCTCTGCACAAGGCCTGAAAAACCTTCGGAGCTGACACTAGTGAAGCCAACGCGGAAGATAAAGTCGCTGCAAAGCATCCTGCATAAATTATTGGCCCCACCCATGACACCAACTCCACCACCTGAAAAAGAAATTATACATTTTATAAACAGAATAATTATAAACAACTTAGAATCAGTAGATTCAACACATGCTGAGCAAGCTACAATTTTAGATTCACCGATTTTACGTTGAATATTTTCTGTATTCTGGTATTTTTTTCTAAAAATAGCCTGAAGTTCAACGTTTCCATTGGTGGATTCGTTTTTTCAAATAAAAAAATTCCTTGTGCCTTTAAAAAATGTGGGTGCCTTATTTTTGAGCATATATATAGCATACCTTTTCGAGATTTTTATTTTGTGACTAGAGTTGTATGATGGTGTGTTCATGTAACTCTTTTCTCTAATTCTTCTTATCATTTTTCGAGTGTATTGTTGATATACCAAAAAACACCTATACAGGGTGATTCATAAGTCGTCTTACACAGGGCCGCATTTTAAGGGGGTCTTCTATGTAACATTTTTTATTCGAATGCTTCATTAAAAAGATACGGGGTGAAGTATGAAATTAAAAAAGAAGAATGTGAACCCTACCTGAAAATTATTATGCAAGCCGTATTTGCACTCTCCCGCTTGGCAAACCGGCCAATTTTCGGCAGAAACGTTGATGTATTCGCTGACGTTTCCCGTGGCGTCTCTCAGCACCGTACAACCCGCTACGACAGCCATCAAAATGTACGACGCCGAAGTTATCAGAATCGCAAGGATCGTTCCTTTGGGAATCGCCTTTTGGGGATCCTAAAAAATATAATCTTCTATTTATTGAAAAATATCATGACATTTTATCACGTACCTTTAGATCCCCGGAAATATTCGCCCCCGCCAAAATTCCTGTAGCCGCCGGGAAAAATATGGCGAAGACGCTGAAGAAGTCGTGTTGCGTTCCGTCGAATTTTCTATAGTCAGGAAACGTATTTTGATAGCCAACCGACGCTAAAAACGATTAAAAGTTTGATCACAAACTAATACACGACTCAAGAAAAAGCAAGCAAAGGCAAAACAAATCCAAATTTTTCGGTGAAAAAATTTGAAGCTTTACGATCTTGGTTTTCACGTTTTTTAGCCGAAAAATTTTAAAAACAACGAATATTATGCAATTCTAACAGATAGTGCAAGAAACATTTTTTTGCAATACTTTCGCCGTGACTTTGAATGAAAAATGATCCTTGCTTAGACTTACACTGGTTAGAAGAGTACAAAAATATATTAACTCTAAAGAATTGGGAAATTAGAAACATCAAAGAAGAAAAAATTTAAAAATCATCTTTACCTACCATTGAAACCCACAAATCCCTTCGCTATGTCGTCATCGCTCATAGGTCCGATAAAACTGCCAATGAAAAAATCCAATATAGCTGTCAACAAGATTACCAACAGACCTAGTTGTGCCTAGAACACAAAAATAATCGATTATCACATAAGAAACTCAGAGAAAATAATCATAATACACCTTTTTTAATTTGTTGTTAAGTTATGTATTAATTTTGTGACATTGAGTACTTCAGAACGTGTATGGTATTCTGCAATTTATATTTTCGCCGTTTTCTATTTTCCGACATCATGTTCGATACCAACACCTGACGTCCTCGCGAATTAATAAAGATATCGTTATCAGTAAAATGATCGTATTTACCTTAGCTTCCCATTCCATTCCAACGACAACGATTACGGTCAGTATCACAATAGTGATGCATCCGATGATCCGAATATCGCTGACTTTGCTGACCATCTGCGGCATACCGTAGGCCAGCAACAGATCCTCGAGGGACTCCCCGAATCCTACGACGTACATCGCGCACGCCACTGCGTTCGCCAAGGAGAAAATCAAACCTATAGAACCGCCGAATTCGGGGCCCAAGCTGCGGGATATCATGTAGTAGGTTCCACCTAGGAACACGAGCAATGCAAAATCAATATATAGAGGTTTTGTCCACAATCACCAGTTTATGGAATAGCACCGTTTTTCGTACCTGCCTCATCTTTAGTAGTTTGTTGTTTGGTGCTGCTCAGTGCATTCTGATGGGATTTTAACCACTTCAGCGCGAGAAGGCATTTAGGAAAACCATCATCCGTACTCCTGCAGCTTTGTAGCTGTTTTGTAGCCAGTTGTAGCCGATTTTGCTGCGAACCACCCCGTTTTCTTGAGCAAAAAGCCCTGTCAGGTGGCACCAAACAACAACCAAAACAAAATACTAAAGGTAAGGTAGATAAGAAAAAGGGTGCTACTCCGTAAGCTGGTGATTGCGGACCAACATCCTAAAATTTGGAAACCAAATTAAGGGCCGATACACCTCAACCGAAACTTCAGCAGGAAGATGACCGAAACAAAGAATTTGGACTAGGAATCAGTTCTCTATCATTAATAAAGAGAAATTCAATCACTGGTGAGTGATCAAAATAGTAGAAAAAAAGGTTGTGCAAGCTCAATAACGACGAAATATTATGCGACAGTTGAAATCCTAGTCGGCAAATCAGGTTTATGATTTAAATAGTGGAAAAATCAGGTCGGTTATCTGCTCGCAAAGGAAGGAGTCCTTCAGTACTATCTTATGCGGATGAGCTGCTGATATTTTGCGTGATTTTGAGCCTGTACAAAATATAAAATAATTGACGGAAATGCTTACAAAATAATAATACCTCCTTTGATGACGCCATTCGTGCTGATGGCAGACATCGATAAAGATGTGATTGTCGTCACCACTGTCGTTGTCAATATCAGTAAAATTGATTGTCCTGCAAAATGAAAAAAAAATGTATTCCGCATGATGAAGTCCAAAAACTAAGTGACGTGGAATAAAGAGCATTCAGTAATGATGAATTTATCGCTGTAATTTTTTGTATACGAGGTCTGTAAATTAAGCGATGAGACAAATATAATTACAATTTTCAAAATAACTTCCTTCTGAACGGTTAGATGTTTATTTTTACAAAAAAATGATTGAAACAACTACATCAAACATTTAGGTCCAAGGCCCCGTGGAGAGGAACTGAGATATCAAACTTGTTGGGTATAATTACCGGCAAAATAAAATTTGAAAATTTGGTTATCATTCAAGAAACAAATCGACTCAGTCCTATTACTTTCCGGACACACCCTGTATGTCATTTTTTTCTCTGCAAATCGGTATTTTCTTTCAACTCAGTGATAAGAAAGATCGACGTCAACTTGAGGTAAAAGTAAAAGTAAAAAAAAAAACTGAAAATGTGTCCCTTCTAGGGGATTTTGGCTCGACATTGAACACCCTATATACCTACCTATGCCAGCTTGTGCTACGACCCACGTGAGCCTTAGGAAGAGCATAACGCCCCATATGTTGAGCAGGCATCTTACCAGCACGCCTTGGATCCATCCGAATTTAATTTGTCCGTCCGGTTCGTTGCCCGCTTTCCCATTGGCGGTCGGCGATGTCGGCGGGGCAGTCTAAACATGGCAAGAATTACCCATTAAAAGTTTTTATTAACGTTACGTAAAATTGCAATTCCCAAGTACAGTGGTCGCCAACCCTTTCAGTGTGTTGAGCTACTTTGATAATTTTGGAATAAGCGGTGAGCTACCTGGTCGTAAGGAATGTAAGCCAACTTAAATGTAATTAGGCAGAGTTGTTTGCGACATACATGTGTTTGTTTTACTGATACTGATACATACTAATACACTTAAATTAACTAATCTTGTTTACAATTTCATAACGTTGTTTAGTTTTAGAAAACGTCCTCCATTTTCTTTGTAAAGAAAGCTCTTAAGCATGACATCAGTATTTCAAGGAAATATCAATAATAATAGTAATCGTCTTTATTTATGATCATAACATCCGCAAAGTTGGGGTTTTCCTTTACACGACGTGTAGATCTTGAAAACATAAGCAATTTTTCTTAGTACCATATACACCAATGTCTTAAGGGAACCGAGATAAAGGGCTCTGCAACATCAAAAATATCTGGATACCGTCCTGTAGCCGCGACCTGCCGCGATATCCCCGACTGGTACAAGGTCTCAACCCGACGGCAGAACTGGGTCGGGGTTCGGGGTCAGTGTGTCAGGTCGGTATGCAACCTTCAACCGACGTGTAGAGATAAACAACAAGCACTAGAGACGTGGCTAGAGAAGTGCAAGTATCAAAAACTAAAGTGTGGCAAACGCCGCGTGTAGAGGGTCTGTATCCGTTTCACGTCCAACGTGTACAAGCCCTTCAACCTGACGATTCTCCAGCAAGAGTGCGGTTTTGTGAGTGGTTGTTGCATCAACATGACAATAATCCGGACTTTTTGAAGTGCATTTTGGTGACAGACGAATCTACGTTCACGCGTAATGGGGTGAATAGAATAGAAAATCCGCACGCTGTCCGTCGGGCACATTTTCGGTGAATGTTTGGGCTGGCATGGTGAACGGTATGCTCATTGGACCATTTATTCTTCCAAATCGATTGGACGGGATGCAATACCTAGACTTTTTACGAAACATTTTGCCTTCCTTGTTAGAAGATGTGCCATTAAGTGTAAGACAATCAATGTGGTTTCTGTACGATGGTCATATTTGTTACCTCTGTTCGTGGTCTGCACCACCGCCGGCGTCTGCTCGATAGCGCATCAGCTGATTTCATTTTTGGTTGGAGCGGTATGATTTCGGGCAGGGACGTACTTAGCCCTTCTCGTCAACTGGAGAGTGAGTACTTTTTCCTTTATTTTTTTTTACTTGGTCGCCCTCGTTTCACTACACATTACCTTTGTTATTTCAAGGGTAGTTGTTTCTAAAAAGGAAAACCCCAACTTTGCGGACACCCTGTATAAGAGCGAAGTTTAGTTCGTGTAAGTATTCTTCTAGTTTAAATTTGAAATTACATATTCATGTGTACACACAAAAATAACCTTCCTCGTAATCATTCCTAATATTCTCAGAATTCCTCAAGAACTGAAAAGCTTTAATGGCTTAAACGATTTTATTATCATCATTCCGCACAAAAATGCATAATTCCGGAGATAACATCAACAATGCTAGTTGTGCATATTATACAAGCAATGTTTCAATTTACAGCCGCAGATGATACGATCCGGCCGCATTTTGTCACGTCGTAACATATTAAAATTGATGTCAAGAAAGGTTAACGAAACGACCGATCAATTAAACGTTTAGTCATCAGCTCTGGAATGTCCGATTAGAAAAAAAAAACTGGTAATTTTTTTTCTGCCGCGTAATCGTGTATTTGATCCACCTACCTGTATAAGGATCTCGGTTCAAGTTCAAACCGTTGCCACGAATTCCCAATTTAGACTTAATTGGTACTAATTAGTGCGATCTTTGAGGAAATTTGCGACGAGTAATCACGATGAAGAAAGGTGTGTTACACGTTGAAAATATATGGGCTAAAAATAATATGCTTTACTTTTGTTTTTTAGATGTCAATTGTATGCTTTTGTTTGTTTGTTAATGGTCGTGACGAATGTCAATCTTGCAAATTATTCGTTTACACATTTTTCGATTCAATTTCCTGTAATTTTTTTATTCGTCTATTAAAATTACATCACTTTGCATTTTGGCTCTTCATAAAGTGATTTTTTATTTTACCTTAAACATTTTTAAATTCATTCAAATACTTCCTTTTGAAATAAAGATTTGCTGGTTATGCTACCATTACAATTTCGCAAATGAAAATATATACTGTTTCTAGTTTCGTAGTTATGTTAACAGCTATTTAATTTTTTGACGTTTTCTTAATTTGAATATTAAAATGAGATGTAAATAACATATACTTTTTTTACATTCAACATCTGTAGTTCACATAGAGTTAATCTTAGCATATTTGTTTTTATTTAAAATGATTCTTACAGCTTTATTTTGTAGAATTTGTAATTTTGAAAATATTTATTCATTTGCTGTTGAAAAACGTGGTGGAACAATATAAAAAACGGGGAAGAATTATATTACAAAATATATTCACAAGTTATTTGGAATACATATTGAGATTATGGATAACTATCTTTTTTGATATTTTTGAAACAGTAGTTTACTATCCATATATACCGGGTGTCCGCAAAGTTGGGGTTTTCCTGAGAAAATAAGCGGATTTCCTTAGTGCACATACACCAATGTCTTAAGCGAACCGAGATACTGGACCCCACAAACTCAATCAAAACTGAACCAAACCGAAGCCGGTCCTGTCCTATCCCTCGATCACGTCCACGGCGCCAGCGCCAGGGTACAGTTATACGACGTACGACTACGATGTAAATACGGATTTTACGACAGAGCCGCACTTGGAATATCAATTCAACGGAACAGTGAGTACTTTTTCATTTATTTTTTTCACTTGTTCGCTCACGTTTCACCAAGCATTAGTTTTGTTATATCAAGCGCAGTTGTGTTTGAAAAGGAAAACCCCAACTTTGCGGACACGCTGAATATACCCAGATATTTGAAAAATTCTACTACTTCAATTTTTTCATTATTAATCATCAGCCTAATTGTATTCTCACCTAAATGTTTCCCTATTGACACACTTTTTGTCTAATTAGTGTTTAATATTTAACCAATTCAGATTTCCTACAATTCTTGGATTATTTCAATACGTTCTTAGGACAGGGTCTTCAATCCCATTTAAGAACGAAACGAAGACGAGATTCTTCTCAAAGTCGTCACACTTTTTATTTTTTACAAAGGTTCTATATTCTGTCCAAGGGATGTACACCAAGTCAGAAATATTTTCGTAAATGCTACCGAGTCAATCTACTTGACGCATTTTTTACCTTTGTCGGTAACGTTGCGTTGTGCAGTTCATCCAGCGTTGGACGATTTGCTGCTTGTATCGACATTATGTTCCTGTAGTTGTCCAGTCTTGGTAATGCCTCTCTGGTCAGGTGTCTGAAAAAGCGGATTTTCATTATAGTGAACGACAACATTAAATAATTAATATAAAAGGTACGTTTTCGATCAATCATCCAGCTAAAAGGAGAAAATAACGTATAGGAATTAAGTAATGGCAAATGTTAGATGATCGATGACATAATTACCTAAATTGAAGACAAACATTCATATACTTGAAATTTTCAGAATATGTACATTCACATCAAGTTCTCTACATTGTGAGACGGAAGTTAAAGACTTATCGAATTTTTGAAGTATTGAAACCCGTTTTTTGTGGTGTAAAGGATCCCATGGTTACTTTAACGCATTCTACTTCCTCCGCCACTGGCGAGGAAGTATTGTAATTGCGAAAAATTTCGAAAAAAAGATATTGTTTTTGGATGGTCAAATGTAAAATGCAAATAGCTCTTGGCACATAAGTGTTGATTATGTTTCCAGAGACTGTTGAAATACGAGGGGATACAAAAAAAAAACGCCCACTGCAATGCTATTCCGGTGATTTTCGGGTACCTCCTCGTATAACATTTGGGCTGTTAATTTTTTTTGTCAATCATAGAAAATAAATTTTCTCATTCCAAAAAAGATTCATGAAATATCATCGTTTTTTACCCCAGCAAATCGAATTTGTAACAACGGAACGTGACATTTGCGTCGAGGAACTTTCGCGTTCGGAGACACACCCTAGAAATGTTTCTTCGAAATTCTTCCGTATCGCAATCTCGACCTTCCTTGAATAGATCAGGTTCTACGAAAGAAGCTGCTGACAAAAAGGGCTACGAAGTACTTTTTTCCACATGAGCTACTCACTCTGTATAAGGCGCAGATAAGACCTGGCCTCGCGTACTGCTCACATATTTGGGGTGCTGCCACCCAGACCGCTGTATCCATAGGGAGAGAGACAGAGTCACACACACATACAGAGAGAGAGAGAGAGAGAGACAGACACAGAGAGAGAGACAGAGAGACAGAGACAGAGAGATAGAGAGACAGAGACAGAGACAAAGAGACAGAGACAGAGACAGAGACAGAGAGACAGAGACAGAGACAGAGAGACAGAGACAGAGAGACAGAGACAGAGAGACAGAGACAGGTACAAAGAGACAGAGACAGAGATGCAAAGAGATAGAGACAAAGAGACAGAGACACAGAGACAGAGACAGAGAGACAGAGACAGAGAGACAGAGAGAGAGAGACAGAGACAGAGAGACAGAGACAGAGACAGAGAGACAGAGACAGAGAGACAGAGATGCAAAGAGATAGAGACAAAGAGACAGAGAGACACAGAGACAGAGAGACAGAGAGACAGAGACAGAGAGACAGAGACAGAGACAGAGACAGAGAGACAGAGACAGAGACAGAGAGACAAAGAGACAGAGACAGAGACAGAGAGACAGAGAGACAGAGACAGAGAGACAGAGACAGAGTCAGAGACAGAGAGACAGAGACAGAGACAGAGACAGAGAGACAGAGACAGAGACAGAGAGACAGAGACAGAGACAGAGAGAGACAGAGACAGAGAGACAGAGACAGAGTCAGAGACAGAGAGACAGAGACACAGAGACAGAGACAGAGAGACAGAGACAGAGAGACAGAGAGACAGAGACAGAGAGACAGAGACAGAGTGACAGAGACAGAGATGCAAAGAGATAGAGACAAAGAGACACAGAGACAGAGAGACAGAGACAGAGAGAGAGACAGAGAGACAGAGAGACAGAGACAGAGAGACAGAGAGACAGAGACAGAGAGACAGAGACAGAGAGACAGAGACAGAGAGACAGAGACAGAGAGACAGAGACAGAGAGACAGAGACAGAGAGACAGAGACAGAGAGACAGAGACAGAGAGACAGAGACAGAGAGACAGAGACAGAGACAGAGAGACAGAGAGACAGAGACAGAGACAGAGAGACAGAGACAGAGATGCAAAGAGATAGAGACAAAGAGATAGAGACAGAGAGACAGAGACAGAGACAGAGAGACAGATACAGAGAGACAGAGACAGAGTCAGAAAGACAGAGACAGAGACAGAGAGACAGAGACAGAGAGACAGAGACAAAGAGAGACAAAGACAGAGAGACAGAGACAGAGAGACAGTGACAAAGAGACAGAGAGACAGCGACAGATAGAGACAGAGACAGAGAGAGAGAGAGAGGATACCGGTTATCTCATTTTGACGATCTCTCCCTCTCACCCTGCTGGGGGAAGAATTAGACTTGGTTTAGCTCTTCTTAATGCAAATTACGTTGAGGTTATATCGGAATTTCTTGCTGTTCTCTATTTGAAATTCGGACGTTGTGCTCATCGGCGTTCCTAATCATTCTCCGAATGTAACAGCCATACATAAAAAATTATCCACGCACAGCTATTTAAATGAACCATACCGTCGATCGAATAACTATGCGTATGCGACCTTTTAATTCTGACAATTGGTATCCAAAATTCAGCTCGTAATGAATCGGATATTCAAGACCACACACACAGATCATTACATGGTAATATGTGGCTGATTTACATAAAAAGGAGCTGGGACCCTTTTAAACGCTTCGGAATTGGTACGGGGCAATCCACTTTGATATCATACCAGTGGCGTGCGAATAGGGTATTTAAAAAAATAAGACTGCACCTACTATCATCAGTTATTAAACGATTAAGTTCACTACAAGTTGAACACCTCTGAAAAAACACATAAAAAAATCGAGATAATTTGTAAGTTGAAAGGGATGACAACCAAATCGCTCCTCAAAAATTAAAAAAATTGTGCTTATAGTGAATGATGATTCTATAAAAAATTGTAACAATTTAGAGATTTTTTTATACATCGTCCCAACGAAATGTTTGCTTTCTGGATAAAATATTCTCAATTAATGGACTGGTATTTAAAAGACATGCTTTTGAGAAGAGGATATCTTTCCCAGAACAACAAACTAATTGTGAAATATTTATAGATAAGAAATATTTATTCGAAAATGGAAAACTGTATAATTTTCTCGGCGCACTTATGACTTTGCCGCACATCATAAAATCCTGTAAAGTCATGCACGGAATGAAAATAATTCACTTTTGATAAGAGAAATCCTCGCCACAATCAAAAATAGTTAGTCCGACCTTGACATTCGTACATTCTGTTTTCCATGTTTATTTTCGATTGGAATATTTCAATGAACTTATCATACAAACAAACAAATGTCCGACATTAATGCGTAATTCACCTAACAAATTGATTATGTAGGTCATATCGGGTACGAAATTGTTTTCCATTGAAATGTACGACTATTGTGAAAATAATATAAGGTATGGAAATTTTTAGGGCTGAATTTCGTTAAACAAGGCATTATCTTTTTTGCATTTCTAATGCGGTATATATTTCATGAAATACAAAAGAAAGCACGACGTTTGTAGAGTTAAGTGTGTGTAACGAGTTAGCTTCAGGAATATTCATTTATGTTAATATACCCGGCATTATATTTTTTATTGCTTAAACCGGTAAAAGGCCTTAACTTTAACAGTTTACAACTGTTTTGATTGGAGTTCTAATAAATAATACTATATGCTAGATTATGGCAATTATAGCAATGAAAGACAGTTATAGATTTTTCATTCAGAGGCTGGCGCTAGCGACCATTAGCTTGCAAACTAGTTGGTAAAAAACTATACATATAATATATTATTAAAATTAGGCGAGATTGTTGCTAAATGTTATTAGATGAGTTAAAGACAACACTTAGTAACCTGATGAAAACTGAATCCGTGGTAGCAGAAATTTATGAAATACTAAAAACTTTTGGATTGATTGTTGAATTTTCATATATTCTCGTTTGCTTCTTAGATCTTTGCTTCTTTCATATTTTTCTCGATTTATTTTCATTGATTACGTCTGGTACATCTAATATTGATATTCGTGGTTGTGAATGTCATGTCCAAAAAGGTATTAAATAATCTAATAATTAAATTCGTCGTATGCAATATCGATATCCACTTTAGCCTTTGCTTATAAGCAAAATGCTTCCTAGAAAAAATATATAATTAGTCGCTTTTAATTATTGACTTAAGAATAGAAAAATATAAAAAATCGTGATTTGGCTATTGGCCTTCAGATGATTATGGAAACATTTTATGGGAAAACGACCGGTTTCATGTTCACAATGTAACATTTTTGCATATCTTCGTGTTCGTTCCGATTTTATTTAAAACATAAAATCAGTTCTGTACTACGCCTGATAAAAGCGAAGAAATAATTATACTAAGTGACATATAAATCCGAACACCCAGTTTAAATGGTTTTATTTTAATAAAAGTTGGTGAATGTATTTATCTTACTGTAAATAACAAGTGAAAAAATGTTCAGCCTTATCAGTTGGACATTCCGGTTTTTATACTGCTTTTTTTTAATTCACTAACGCTCTAAAAATGAATATTTCAGCCGCAGTAAAGAATCAACGTTGGCGGATTTTGGTTCTTGACATCCTTTACGATCGGTTACGATGCCTAGAGTACGGAGACCTGTACGATTTCGTCAACTTAGTGAGTTTGATAGGGGCCGTATAGTGGGACTTCGGGAAGCTGGACTTTCTTTTCGGGCAATTGCAGTTAGAGTGCAAAGAAGTGTAGACACTGTTGTCAGGCATGGCTTCGAGAAGGCCGTACGCAAAGAGCAAGGGGCACTGGACGCCGCCGTAGAACAACAGACCGTGAAGATCGCCGCCTAAGATTATTGGCCTTAAGGGACCGTTTCTCCACTACCAGGTCCATTGCAAATGAAAGGTTTGCAGAACACGGAAGACCTATTGGCATGCGAAGTGTATACCGACGAATGAGAAGTTTTGGCTTGTTTTCATACCGGCCACACTGGGCCCTCCCTTTAACTCGAGAACACCGACGTAATCGCCTTGAGTGGTGCAGACAACGGTCACTCTGGGATCAGGAATGGAACAGTATTGTCTTTAGTGACGAGTCTCGATTTTGTTTAGGCATGCACGATGATCGTGCCAGGGTTAGAAGGCGACGTGGTGAAAGGAGGAATCCACAGTTTTTTGTTGAAAGACATGTTCATCACACTGTTGGAGTTATGGTTTGGGGTGCTATAGCTTATGGTTCCAAGTCACCTTTAATCTTCATCAGAGGTAACATGAACGCGCAGCGTTATATCCACGAAGTTCTAGAACCCCATCTTTTACCCTATCTTGGCACCCTGGCAGATCCAACTTTCCAACAAGAAAATGCCCGACCACATGTTGCAAGAGTCACAATAGACTTCTTTCAACATAATGATGTCACATTGTTACCATGGCCACCAAGATCTCCCGACTTATCCCCAATTGAGCACGTGTGGGATATGATGGGTAGGAGATTGCTCAATTTGCAACGTCCTCCTCAGACTCTAGAAGCACTTCGAGAGGAGTTGGTGGTTGCATGGAATGAGATACCACAGGAGGACATTGACCACCTGATCAGAAGCATGCCTAGGCGCGTTGGAGGATGCGTAGCACATCAGGGTGCATCCACACATTATGGGGGGGCTTTAAAGCAGTGCAATCATTTTGAAATTTTTATCATTTACTTATTATGCTTCATTAAGTACTTATACAAAATTTTATTAAAATAAGTAGAATTTTGTTTATCTCGATTAAAGACACTTCCTAAGCATCAAAGCATTAAATGAACTTTTCAAAGCAAAATAGCAGTAGCTTCCAAACTATGCTACTTTTGTTCTCTGTATAATACAAAAACTGCCTTTTGTAATGTATTATGATGATTACGTATTTAGTTTTTTTAATAATCGTATTATTTGTGGATTAGCATTTATCGCTATAGTTACTTTTGCTGTGAAATACTTTTGAAAAATTTTTTTCCTCCATCTTGACGTATAAGAAAAATGCTGTTTTTAGTTTATTTATATAATTATTTTTGTTGAATGAAATTATTAAATGTAATCATCTAATTATTAGATGTTGAAAAGCGTTACTTTTGCGCTATTTTTGAGAATTCCAATTTGAATAAATTATATGAAAATAAAATAAAAATCTTTACTAAAAAAAAATAATATAAATATATTATGAAAACAAGGAAAAAATGCGGTAATTTTGTTTTTAAAACAGTAAAAATCACATGTTACTCCTTTTTGATTCACAGCAATTACAAACGGAATATCATTTATATCCAGAATTTTGAACATAATTTTCTCTTTACTGCATTTCATATAGTAATATAGGTACTCTTGCAAGTGGAAAGTAAATACGTCTGTCAACTTACCTAAAACTTTTTGCATATTCTGTATTAAGCCTAGTCCTATCGGTAGCAGAATGTACGTCATCTTCGTCGTCTGTTGCACCAGTTTCACCGTTTTCGTCATCATCGAGCCTCATGTCTACTACTACTCCATCGCTGTCTCCTTTAACACGGTTCACCTAAGAATTGTTATCGTAGTCTGAGAATTTACTCTCTCATTTTTTTCTATTGTAGCGTGAAAGAATACCCATAATCGCACGACAACGGAAAAAAGAACAGTGTTGTAATTAGTGCAAAAATCAAAAAATTATTCCATAAAGGTCTAAATATTGTTGAATTGATCCTGATTGCAAATATAGAGTAAAGTCGAGAAAGTACTGGAAAAATCTAAGACAAAAAATTTTGGAAATTTTAAAAACTATGGCAAGTTTGCCAAATAACGATTCTAAAAGTAATGTTTTAAAAACCACTGATATTGTATACAAAGCTTGTATTGTATATGACATGAGACAACTTTATCTCTTGCACGCCATCACCAATTATCACAAAGTTACTAGTAACGATGAAAAAATCAAACACAGTCACCATACGAGACATAAATTATGAGACGTGGCTTTGTTTAGGACCAAAATTATACCTGACAATATGAATAATACGCTCTGGGAATCATAACTTTTTACGTTGATTAGGAGTTTTTTAGGAATATTTAAAGAAGACAACGGATGACATTTCTTTGATTACAATGACGTCACACCATGGCTGATAGTCTTTTCACCGTGTCATATGAAAATTAAATATCGTTCTTTTTTAAATTCGCTTTATATATCGATCTTTGGCTTTTAAAAATCGAAATCGATATATTTCCTTTTCCTATAAAATCCTCATTTATTCTATGAAATTAAATATGAGTAAAGTAGCCTATTCGAGTATTGAAATCGCGAAAAATATCTAAAGTAAGGCATTATGGCATTCGAATTTGAAAAATTAACCCGTGAATCCTACCTGGAATCGTGTCTGTTTATCCTTGACATCCCTGGGGTTCAAAAGGTCCATTTCAGTGGCTTCTGTTGTTGGGGGTTCGTCTTTTCGCGAAGACATCGTCACCTGAAACAAGGCGAATTTTCTGTCACACTTTTGTCACGCAACTAACCTCGATTTTTTAAAGATTGTGCTAAGGGTCAGGTCATATGTGGCATCCTTGCTGTCTGCGTCAAGTCCTTGTGTATTATCAACGATTTAACAATAAACGGCCAACAATCCGCGCCTGTTGATGTGGTTGATATTTCTGTCCGGCAATAGAGGGCGTGTTTCGTTATAGACTTGTCGTGAGGTTAAAACTCATAATTCTGGTGCTCTCGTGTAGCAGCTTAGCGGCCACAAGCTGCGTTAGTGACACAATTTCACACCCAGTGCTGGAAATTGCCGGGTTGTGGAAATTTTGATAGAAATCGGCCTGTATTCTACACGGGGTTCTGTACCTTTCTGTAATAGCTAATCATCCACCAAGGTGATTTTTGTTTATTTTAGTTTTTGCTGGGAAAAATTTAGCTGTGGGGTAGAACCAACTAATTTCCTTTTGCTTGTCTCAGGGTATGGACATAGAAGTGTCGCGTATTTTTAGAGTCAAAGTAAATGGAATGGAGACGATTTATTATACAATTTTATTTAATATAGTCAACAGTGCGAATGTTTCGTAAAAGGTGTTCAATATGACGATCATTTTCGTTCAAGCGCATAACAATACAACGTTTTTCACTTGATGTAATAACAAATGTTTTTAGAAAGCAGCTCCAAAATTCATTTTTTTTCTCGAAAACTATGCCTGTTTTTATCAGAGACAAAAAATGAAGTGGATCTCAAATCATAAGCTTGTACATATTAAACGTCAATATGTGATTTGATAGTAAATTGGTACATTTTTATGCATTTTACTAGAGAACTTGTTGTATTTATATAATTCAAGTTCGATTAAAACCTAAGCACAAGTTTTTCCTTTTTTTTGGTATTATTCATTATGAAGACTTTGTAGTTGGGCCAATATACATTTTTATTAGTTTATTTTACAGCGATGTTCAACCTCGTCTGTTAGGCCAAAATTGCCGAACGATTTTAATAGACATGTAGAAATCAAATTCATATTGCAATCTATTACGTTTTACCTTGGATATTCTGATTACTAGTAGAGTACATAATAAACGAGATAAATGCCCAAAAAAAGCTACGGTTGGATTAATTTTCAGTAGAATAAGATTAAAACAGGCTTGTAATACCCAGAAGTTCGATTCGTGATTCTGATTGAGAAGCTTTAACACGGCAGATTTACTGTTGAGAGATTATTATTATTGCCGCTATAAATTTATTGTAAACGACACCATAAAGTGCGAAACGTTCTTATCGAGGAAGACTGCTTTGGGTGTTAGACAAAATTTATTGAAAAAAATTGTAGATAGAAGATCTTTTTGGCAGAGACAGATATGCTTCAAGCAGATTGCGGTATTTTCCACCACAGGGCCTATACCGGAACTTGAACTTGCATTAGGAATCTTCGTCGTTATTCAAAAAGTAACAAAAATTGTATCAATAGTTTTTAAACAAATTCCATTGTTTATTGTTTTGTTTTGCTGCGGACATTTTTTTTTTTGGTCACTCTGAATAAAATAGGTTCTTATGAACTGTTCTTTAAAGTTGATAGTTGAAGTCAGTGTTTGAAAAAAGTGGAATAAACAATATAAAAAATGAAAATTTTAATGTCTAAATATTCTTCAAATATCCATTAACAAATTCCCGAAGCATTTTTAATTTTTAGTTGTTAGTTAAGCGCGTGATCGATATAACAATAATTATAGAGTTTTTCTATGTTCTTCCTTATCTGCAGATTAGTTTGACGTTGAAAGCTTAATTATAGACGCATATTCCCTTTTTTCAACTTGCATTTTTGCCATATTGTAATGTTTTACTTAGATTTCTGTATACTGTGTAATTTTTTCTTTGATCAGACTAAGACTATTTTGTAGTTATTATCTTTTAAAGATTTTCTTGTCCGATGCATATTTTTTGTAACTGCAAATAAATGCTATGCACCAGTTAGCCTTCTGAGAAAAAAGTTAGATATTACAAAAAAATGATCTTCCTCCTTCCCCTGAGAAGAATAACTTTAATAGTAAATCTAAAATTTCAAAAAAATCGTTATAGTGAAAAAACATAGGCTGCTTTTGATACTGAATGTGTAAATAATTTTTTTAGTTGCTATTTACAAAATTGGAGTTATGAAAATATATACTAAGTGACATATAAATCCGAACACCCAGTTAAAATGGTTTTATTTTAATAAAAGTTGGTGAATGTATTTATCTTACTGTAAATAACAAGTGAAAAAATTTTCAGCCTTATCAGTTGGACATTCCGGTTTTTATACTGCTTTTTTTTTAATTCACTAACGCTCTAAAAATGAATATTTCAGCAGTAAAGAACCAACGTTGGCGGATTTTGGTTCTTGACATCCTTTACGATCGGTTACGATGCCTAGAGTACGGAGACCTGTACGATTTAGTCAACTTAGTGAGTTTGATAGGGGCCGTATAGTGGGACTTCGGGAAGCTTGACTTTCTTTTCAGGCAATTGCAGTTAGAGTGCAAAGAAGTGTAGACACTGTGGTTAGGTGTTGTCAGGCATGGCTTCGAGAAGGCCGTACGCAAAGAGCAAGGGGCACTGGACGCCGCCGTAGAACAACAGACCGTGAAGATCGCCGCCTAAGATTATTGGCCTTAAGGGACCGTTTCTCCACTACCAGGTCCATTGCAAATGAATGGTTTGCAGAACACGGAAGACCTATTGGCATGCGAAGTGTTTACCGACGAATGAGAAGTTTTGGCTTGTTTTCATACCGGCCACACTGGGTCCTCCCTTTAACTCGAGAACACCGACGTAATCGCCTTGAGTGGTGTAGACAAAGGTCACTCTGGGATCAGGAATGGAAGAGTATTGTCTTTAGTGACGAGTCTCGATTTTGTTTAGGCATGCACGATGGTCGTGCCAGGGTTAGAAGGCGACGTGGTGAAAGGAGGAATCCACAGTTTTTTGTTGAAAGACATGTTCATCACGCTGTTGCGAGTTATGGTTTGGGGTGCTATAGCTTATGGTTCCAGGTCACCTTTAATCTTCATCAGAGGTAACATGAACGCGCAGCGTTATATCCACGAAGTTCTAGAACCCCATCTTTTACCCTATCTTGACACCGTGGCAGATCCAACTTTCCAACAAGATAATGCCCGACCACATGTTGCAAGAGTCACAATAGACTTCTTTCAACATAATGATGTCACATTGTTACCATGGCCACCAAGATCTCCCGACTTATCCCCAATTGAGCACGTGTGGGATATGATGGGTAGGAGATTGCTCAATTTGCAACGTCCTCCTCAGACTCTAGAAGCACTTCGAGAGGAGTTGGTGGTTGCCTGGAATGAGATACCACAGGAGGACATTGACCACCTGATCAGAAGCATGCCTAGGCGCGTTGGAGAATGCGTAGCACATCAGGGTGCATCCACACATTATTAAAGGTCAAAGGGCTTTAAAGCAGTGCAATCATTTTGAAATTTTTATCATTTACTTATTATGCTTCATTAAGTACTTATACAAAATTTTATTAAAATACATTTAAACTGGGTGTTCGGATGTATATGTCACTTAGTATAGTTAATTGCATCCCATGCTTTTTTACTACAATTGATTTTTTTCAAATTATTTTCTACCTTTTGCTTTCGATTTGCTGTTAAAGGGTTTTTTTGATTTGTAAACTATAATTTATTTTCAGAGTATTTAGTCTCAAAACGACAAGCGTACTTATGGTTTTTCCAAATTTTCAATTTTTTTCAAATTTGTAATTAATTTCTCTTCAAAATTCACAAATTTTAAAATCGAAATTCCTCACAAAATTTCAAAATTTCCATTTTTTAAATTTAAAATTTTTCCAAATCACAAAATTCAACTTTTTCAAAAAAATTTTATATATATATATATTCATATAACGCGTATCTGAATTAATTAAATACACAAATTGAAAAATGCAAAAATTGTTGCTTCTGACTGGTAACTATTTTCAAAATTTTCAGTGCTTTCCAAATTTGAAATTCAAATATTTTTCTCAAAATTCCCAGTTTTTTCTCTTAATTGTAAATCAAAAACTTTTCAAAACTTCCTATTTCATTTCCAAATTTTCAAATTATTTTCCAAATATCCGACTTTAGCTATCATTTCAGCTAAATTTTCAAATCCGATTGTTTCCAAATTTTGCCTTTCAAAATCCTCAAATTTTTTTCTCAATTATTGACTCCAAATTTTCCTTCAAATATTGAAATTTCCAAAATATTTTCCAGATTTCAAAATATTTCAAATTTCGAAATTTCCATTTTTTTCAAAATTCCAAAACCTTTAAATTATTTTCCAAATCCGAATTTTATCCAAATTGCAAAATTCAAATATTTTAACATTTTTCCAATCCTTCATTACGCACATTACGCGTATCTAACTAAATTGAATAAAAAAAATTGTAAAATGTAAAACATAATTTTTTTAAAATGTTCAATATTTTTCCAAAATTGAAATTCTTTTTTTCTTCTCAAAATTACCAATTTTTCTCTCAACTTTTAATTCGAAATTTTCAAAATTTTTCCAAAACATCCCAATTTTCCAATTAATTTCCGAATTTTCAAATCCGATTTTTTTCCAAATTTCACAATTCAATTCTTTTTCAAAATTCCCAAATATTTTCATATCAAGTTGGATTACAAATGTTATTAAATAGAAAACCGAAAACCAAAATAATAAATAATATCCTAAGTTATTAACTATTGCTTTTAACAGCACATTTTTTTAACTGCATTACGTGACAACGACTCAATTGATCGAAACAAAACATTACACAGTTCGCCGCTTTTGTTAAATTGACCGATGCAGATAACATGCGCCTAACAGCGAAAAATCAAGGTGATAGTTAGCTCCACGTTATTTTTGTCTACAGATTTATTTTTAGTCGTTCAGGTAAATTAGTTTTAGAGACATGGAAGAATCTCAACTTATTCAAAATCCCAGCTAATTATAATCACAAATTTCAAATAACTTCAACAAAAAAACACTTTATCTCATTTCCCCAGTGAATCTTTCTTATTCTTTGGGTAACCCGCTCTACCAATTTGTAGATACTTTTCCTTACCTCTATTTATACGACATCTTAAAGCGAAAACTTTAAATTAAATAAATGCCAACTGACAGTACAAACTTTTGTTTCCAACGAATTTTGTGCCATAACTTTTAGGACATACGTTTTTTCTGATTACGTACAATCCAATTTGTACTGAAAAGCTCAACGTGGGAAAACGTAACAAAAATATAACTAACAGGAAACCGCCTCTATTTGCAAATTACTATCAATAGTATTGCAGCGTACCGACGAATACGTGAATCATTCGTCCGTTTTCCGAATAATAGCGAGATTATCGCAACGATTCCATTGACTGAATGCATGGTTGGAAAAACACGCACAACGGCTGATAGTGGTGCCATTTTAAAATTGGCGCGCACCTAAATTACTTTACTATTGTTTTCTGCGATAATTTCTGTTGACGTGTTACGAATTGTATCGCTGAATTGCAGATCGGATCGAAGCGCATTAGGTTGTTTTTTAGATGTACGAGTAATTTTTTCTTCAAATGTAACGTACGTACCTTATTGGCCCATGCCCTTCGTTTTTAAGGTATCGAAGTATTTAAATTTAAGTTCAGGCCTTCCCACACAAGATCTAGAAAAGTATTTTGAGCTGAGTTATCTCTAAAGTATTGATATTTAATTGTTAGCAACGTGCTGTGGATCAGACGCTTCTGCCTTTACCATACAAAATATTCCAATCTATACTAAGATAACTATAGTATATTTAGTTACCTGATATAGATACAGTATATACTTACCTACGGAAGTTTTGGATTATGGATCAACAACAATCTAATACGGCATAGCGGTGTTAAATGAGGCAGTTACAGCAGTAACAAGGTTTTTAATTAATTTTCTTATCAAAATTTAATATTGAATTTGGTATATGGCTACATAAATACACATGCCAGGAACTGGTTCAATATTATAAATATAAATCACCTAGTTTCTCTTCAACGCTTTGAATAATTTACAGTTTGTTATTTATATTTGAAAAGTGAACACAAGAACAATATGATAAAAATAATATTTATAGAAACTATAATAATGTGACACTGAATTTATGGCGTAGCCTACTTCAGTGACATTGACCTCAAATCTGAAAATCCTTGGTCTTTATTGATTGTTATTGGAAAGAGGTGTGATATATTTCATAAATACCAACGTAAAAAAAATGAGTTATACCCTCCTTAACCCCTACCTCCAATTTTCAACCTCTACAAAATGTTTTCCTAAAATGATCAGGAACCTTTGAAATATCAAAAAACAAAGTTAATACAGTTTTTACTTTTTCATGTTTTTGCCTCTAATCTTATGTGGAAATTTCATCCTAATGCCAGCGGTACTTTTCCAGTTGAAATAAAAAGGCATACTTCCCAAAACTACGCACATCAAAAAATAATAAACTATAATAAATCAAGGGATGAAAAAAGAAACGTATGATTACGTAAATTATATTTTTGACATCGAAAATTCTTCATATACTTTTAATAATAGCAATATGATAGGAAAACTGCATTTAAAAAGTTGAAAAATACTATCTTAGATTTTTGTAGATTAAGTAGATTAATTTTCTGGCATCGTTTTGTAAAATTCTGGTGGCTGTACATGAGAATTATAAATACTTCGTCGGAATTATATATGAGGAATAGCAGCGGCCCCAATACAGAGCCCTGAGGCACGCCTGAGCGGAGTACCGTCACTTTCTTGGTTGACCAAAACACACTGAGTTTTTTTTATGAAAGTAACTGTCGAAGAATGTAAGGGATACATTGATAAGTCCTACCTAATTTAATTTAGCAATTAATATATTTTGCTGTCAAAAGTCTATCGAGGTTAACGCTAATGACAGTTTCTTATGTAAGGCATTTAAAATATTGGCTTGCAGATTGAGTAGGACAGATGTACTATAATTTTCTCTAAAACCGGATTCAATAAAAATAACTCAATATTTGATAATGAATATGATGGAATAACGAAAAATAAAAAAAATACAACAAGATTCCTGAAATATTTGTAAAAATATTTAATTCTTGACGTTAAATAATGAGATATATGTCAAAATAACGCCATGTCTGAGTATGTCAATAAAATAATGAAAAATAGAAAAAGATCAATAAGGCTCCTAAAATATTTATAAAAAACTTAATTCCTGATACGACACTGTGAGTTGTGATGTGATATATGTCAAAATAACTCCATGGTTGATATTGAAGTTAAAGAAATGAATAAAATAAAATACGATAAACTATTTGAATAAATTTTGGTTCTGATTATGGATAATTGAAATAATCAAAGTTAATTTAAATATGGTATGGAAAATGTAGGATATAAAAAATTAATTAAAACATGGAAGGTAATTAAAGTGTATACAGTGATATAAAAAGATAGAAAATTATTCTTTCAATGATCCTTTTTTTATAAAAATGTATCGTAATTATATGTATTTGGGGTTTCCTTTTCTAAAGTTGCCAACGTTTCGGAAACATTTATTTTCTTGTTCAGGGCCCTACAAAACAAAAATGTCTAAAATACTAACTTTACATATACATTAGTTAACAATTTAGATAATAAAATCGTTAAGTAAAATATATTTATTTTGGTTAAGGCATTATATAAAATGAGCTGTTTAAAAGCTAATTTCATTCAAACATGTTAATATAGAAACTAAGTATAAATAAAATTATAAAAACATGAATAAAAAAATAATGGATATAAAAAGTAGAATAAAGATGATCAATTATGTCTGAATGAAATTTGATTCTGGTTATAGATAATTGAAATAATCAAAATTAATTTGAATATAATATGAAAAATGTACGATATAATTAAAATAAATCAAAAATAATTAGAGTCTACATATAAGAGGTTACAAATTAATCCTTTAGTGACCCTTTTTTATATAAATTTCGACGTTTCGAAAACATTTATTTTCTTCTTCAGTGCTCACTAACTTTCAATATTCATTAATTAACAATTTAAATAATAAAATCGAAGTGAAATATATTTATTTTGGTTAAGACAATATATAAAATGAGTCGTTTAAACTAATTTCATTTAAACATGAAACTTCTTTAAACCCCAAATCCGATTAATTACAAGAAATTTATATGAAAGGATGTTCGGAATATTATAAGTCATGGTTAAGATAATAGAAATTAGCGTTAATATAGGAAGTTACAGAAAATAATAGAAATAAAGATACGTCCAAAAATTATAAATAAAATAAATTTATAAAAACTATAAATCAAAAAAAATAATGGATATAAAAAGTAGAATACAGACAATAATCAAAATATAGACGGTAGTTGAAATATTTGAAATAGGTAAAAATAAGTAGATATTTTTTTTGGGGTAAATATTCAAACGTTTGAAACGACATAGCCCAGAGCATACTTATATATTTTTCCGTTTGACACTAATCGATCAAATGCGGTTTTCGTCCGGGTCAAAATAGACGGTGAAAATTACAAGAAAATCAACGTTACCTATTAAAAGTTGGAAACGAGGATTGAAACGAAACTTCAGTCTTGTCACCACGTTACATTTCACTCAGAATTCGTCAGAAATCCGCGAAAATTCGAGCAGCCGCCGCGATTCAGAGGCACGTGTTCGTACAGAACCAGCCGAACGCTTCGTCAGTGTCGTTTCTCGCCGGAAAAACGTGCTCGCCTCGCAGTCGGGCACCGACGAGTAGCGCCGCGTTGTCAAATCAGAAGAGGGATAAATCCTTAGAACAGTTAGGGTCGTATTGCCGCGGCGTGAAGCGTAAACGGCAACATCGCAAATCTCCAGATCCGATGAAAAATCGCCACACCTGGCAACCCTGATTATCAAATTGTATAAGGTTGCCTATACGTTCAGGTTGACGCAAATATAAATAAATTAGTGGTTCAGCATGTCCGTGCATTATTCGAACCGCATGTGTTCTGTGATTGAGCTGTTTAATTGAAAATTCAGACATTTGGACAGGAATATAATTAAAAAAGCTTTCCGTCCGCGCTTTTTAGCTGTGAGCGGATGCTGCGAGTGTTCGTTTTGTCTATCAATTCATTTTTTGAATTTATAAAATTAAGGGAGCATTTAAATGTCATAAATTTTTGTCTTTTTGACATTGAAAATCAATTAATTTATAGCTTCATGACCCTTGAATTGTATAGAGGTCACTGAAACGAACTGTACATTGAATTTGAAAAAAAAAGAATGGTAGTCTTGGCTGTCTAGTAAAGATACAAATAAAAGGATCTTTAGATTGCAGACACAACGGAAAAAATTGATGCTAGAAAGGAAGTTTGTTCTTCATTCGAAAAAGTTTATTTCCTTCATGAATGACGAAGAAACTTCCATTATGAAGACATTTCGCCATGTTAGATTTAGTTTGATCGTTACTTGCGATACAACCTTTTTGTAATTTCTCTGATTTTATGTCCGTAGTTCCGCCTTGTCGGATACTTTATATAAATATATTCTGCTAACCTGAAATATCACTTACACCTTTTCAACAGTCACGGTATCTTGGTACCTAAGTTCCCACCTTCGCGACTGTTTCAGTATGGAAAACAACTTTGTTTCCATAGCAAGTCATTTCGTGGAAGACCCAGCAGTGATAACGAAAAAGTAACCCGCCATCTTGTTGTATCCCTCAATACAAAAAGCTCTCTTTTTCTATTTGATGAAAATGTGATGTTGGATTATAAGGGAATATCAACGGTTTACTCCAAATGGTAGATTTGCTGAAAAATTGCACGACTTGGCAACGCCGCGGTAAATTCAGGCGATTAGGGAACGAAATCGTAACCGTTTCGTTAGGGGTGAGTGGAGCAACTGCAACTGCTCGCAACCCTCGGTAAAATTTCGACAAGGTTTTATTTCAGATTGAAAGGAAGAACTTATTATACTTGAATTGGTAGTAATCTTTTACTTAGCAATCAAATCAACTTGATACTTCACATCTATGAATTCATTAACAAAGTAGTTCTGAACGTAAAGAAAGCGTTTTTCGACGTTTGATTGTTAAAATCTTTTAGGAAATATTCTAACAACTTAATTACCAAAAAAATGGCGAAATGACAAAATACGTCAAAGCTCAGTTAGGCATTTTGAGTATCATAGACCTCAACAACGTATAGTATAGCTAAAGTTAGTAAGGCTGTAAAAGAAATCAATTTATAAAAAATGTACATATCAACACGTCTAAATGCATCGTAAATTTTGAGTTTGCCAGTTTTATTGCTAGCTTTGAAAATGACCAAAAGCTTCACACTTCCTGATACCATGCTTCATATCCTTATACGGGCCTCCATCTCATCGCATCTATTTGAATAAAAATCCGATTCTCATCGTATACAATCAATCGTAAGCAGAAATAACAATAAACAAACGCTGGTAATGTCTTCTTAATTGCCAACAACAAATTGATTACGATTGGTATTATTTTATAATCAACGTGAAAATCAATCGGACGCATTACGGTGTCTGTGACGTCATTATTGGAAAAATGCGATATTATTTAGTGCATTTTCATATCAATTATTTTGATTACAACTGATTATTTAAGCATGCCCGTTCAAAGTCTGTTTTTGATTTATTGATGTTGAGTGCTATATGTCGGAGGTTTTAAAACGACTGCCACCTTTGGTATTTTAAATTCATGGCATTTCCGGAGGTGAACAGAAAAACAGTTTTTTTCCTGAAGTGTTTTTATTGTATTCTGACTTAATTTACGATTGATTTTCAAACTAATTGCCCATTAAGATTGACACTTTTTCTCCTCTAAAAAGTGGCAACTTTATTTTAATTCGGATTCCAAAAATGTATAATCATACACTGGTATTGCCAAACCTGCGTTATTTTAAAAAAATATATTACGAAACAAAGCATCTGATAATTTCAAGCATACTTATGACATTCTGCCTTTTTAATAATTATATCCAAACTATAGTATTGCATGACATATGTTATATATTTTTGGAATTAGGATTTAAAGCTCTATTTATCTGTCATCTAGAAGAAAAAATAAAGTTGACGATTAAAGACAAGAGACGAAACGCGATATAGCGGAGGTTTAACCCCAAATAAAAAATATGTAACGACTGTGCGTCGTATTGCAAACGACTTGTTAGAAGGAGGAGGGTTTGTTTTGAAAATGGAGGAAAAAGTTGTATTGAGATATTGACAGAATAAACGTAATTTCGTCGTATTCCTGCGTGTGTGTTTTTATCTTCAGCACCACGGAGACATGTATTTCAATACAAGTCTCAAACCTCTTCAATATGCAAAAATTTAATTATGCTACTTTGTAGAGGAGGAGAAATGGTATCGTAAATGTAAAACCTATTTTGAGATCCCATCTCAATGAAGCCAAGAAACACTGAAAACAATCCTGGCGAAAATTCAGGTTTCCCTGGTTATCTTCGGAAATACTAATACGAAATTTTTTAAGTGCCAATGACTCAGTCACCTAATTGCACCCAAAATCCCAGTGGAGAGAGTCGAATTTGGAACACCCGGTATAGTATTTGATAAATTGCTTAAAGTTGTATTTATATTATATCACACCATCTGAAGTGATTTGGCAACATAGCAATTTTTTTACAAATTTTCGTTATATCCATCGACACCGCCACCTCCAGCCCTCTGAGCCACACAATTTTGTGCAGCATCACGTTGTTTCACGATGTAACATGTAATGATTTTAACTGTCGTTCCAAATATTTTTAATCCGTTCTGATGTGTTCCTGACATACAGCTGTGTATTTTATACTAATTTTAATGAATGTACCATGTATTCAGCTTTCAACAGGTTACTAAATGTTTCTCTCAACTTAACCATTAATAACGTTTAGCAACAACTTCTTCTTAATGTTATTGCAGCTCCTGATGATGATGGCAAAATCCATTGAAAGCTAGAGACTAATAAAGTATAAAGGGTCCTCATTGCTTGAATTTTATCGAAGTACCCAACTAAAGGCGGAAGCTTTATTTTTCACCTAACTGGTCTTGACGACAATGACCACGTCTCAAGATATATATATATATATACAGGGTGACTTCGAAGTTGAGTCATTTATTTTAACAGTGAGTAGATCTGATCAAAAGAAATGTTTTTTTCCTTTACCATTTTTCTGGTAAAATTAAAGTAACAAAGTTATAGCCCTTTGGAAGTTTGAGTACCGCCCTGTCTCAATAATAATATTATGTGCTCGTGTTTGGCAACAACGGATATAATCCGCCTTATCGGTTCATCGCATCGGAAACAAAAAAGCGAAAGAATTTGGAACGATGTTTTTACAATTATTTTATTCAGTTGTATACAGTCAGTGTCAGTCGGTAACGCGTGAGTGAATAGTGGTGTCTGTTGCGTGGCTCAAACGAAATAAAAAATGGCACATGTTCATGCGGATCGGTTTCCCAATCGAGTGCAACCAACCCCTCGTGCCTTTGTTAATGTAGTACAACGGGCTCGTGAATCAGGTGACTTAAGACCTCACAGGGGACGGCATGCCGGTGCTTCAAGACCTCACGATCAAATACAGGTCCGCACTGAAATACTTTATAAAACAAGGTAAAATTTTTTTTTATTTTTACACACATATTTTGTTTATCTTCCTTCTACAATCATTATCTGAAAATTAATGACTCAACTTCAAAGTCACCCTGTATATATATATATATATATATATATATATATATATATATATTATATCAAAATTGCTTTTAGATAATTTTTAATGTGTTCGGGTGTATTGATATATAGTGTTAACACCTAACGATGGTATCCGTCGTTATCAATAGACCCAATGTGTCCGTACTTTTGGTTTTATATTTTTAACAAGTGCTCTCATCCACGCTTTCGTTTTGAAACACCATTTGGCTGCAACCTCAGCGAGGAGTAAGTCGTCTGATAATTTAAATCCTTCCCGTATTGGTTGCTAGCATCATATTTGTGATTTCAGCTCCTGAAGATGGCTCCATATAGAACGCCGAAAGCTCGAGGTTACCGCTAAAACCTAAAAAATTTGGCCAATTTTCCAATTAACAATTGATTGTAGTTTTTGCCCAACTGATCGTTGGCAATGACATATACAGGGTGGCCAAACACGTGACGTCATAAAAAAAAATTAGATTCCCCACATCGAGATGAACCCAAATCACCCCCATATATATGGTCCGATTTTGTTTAGTTTAGGAGTTATGATTTTTTTTCGGATTTTTCGAGAATTTTTGAGTTCTGTGTTTATTTTTACCATAACTTCGTTAATAATTGTGATAAATGCCTGCTTTTTTCACGATTATGTAGCTAAGACCTAAGGCTTAACTATCATATAATCATTCAAGTCATGTAACTAATACTACTTTTTAATTTTTTTCTAAATCTTCGAACATAACAAAAAAGTAAAAAAGTGCAACAACTTTGAACGTTTATAAAAAATTGAAAAAACATGTTCTTACTATTCGTAAGTATCTTAAAAACTTCCTTACGGTATCAGCTATTTACCGTAAAAATTTCATCAACCTAGCTTTACTACATGCTACCGTAATTGTGGCTCAAATAGAACCGAACCCAAAATTGGATAACCCTCTGCTCAATAGAAATTGTTAGTTTCGGAAAAAAAATTTGCAAAAACCACAAAAACACGTTTGATTTTTACTGAACAGCAGATTATTATTCATTTATGTTATTTACAAGAGGTTTTCAAAATGTC